GCTCTCGCTCAGGGTCAACCTAAGTCTGAAGTGACTTGAAAGCACATAATAACAACAATCTTATCTCATCAGCCAAAAGCAGGCCCACATTTCCCATTGAAATAGTAATAAGTTTATATTTGTTAACACTGTTCCTCATATTAATTATTGTATCGTTTTTAAGTGTTTTTACACTACAACTAAGATATCTTTAGCGTGCATAGGAATTCATTCATGTTTTTTTTCCAAATTATAATCCGGCCCTCCAACAGTTTGAGGAACTGTGACCTGGCCCTCTGTTTAAAAAGTTTGTGGACCCCTGATATAAGATATAATAGAAGTATAGATTCCTAGAATCGGAAGAGACCATGTGGCCCCTACCATGAAGGAAGAGCACAAATGGAGCAGCCCCAACGGATGGACACCCAGCCTCTAATGAATGATTAATAATAATAATAGGCACCGCAATGTTGCAGTGGTTTAAACTACTGAGCTGATAAACTTGTTGACTGAAAGGTTGCAGGTTTGAATCTGGGGAGCTGTGTGAGCTTCCGCTGTCAACCCCAGCTTCTGCCAACCTAACAGTTCGAAAACATTTATTTATTTATGACATTTATATGCCGCCCTTCTCACCCCAAAGGGAGGAGCCCCCGGTGGCACAGTGGGTTAAACCCCTGTACTGGCAGGACTGAAGACCAACAGGTCACAGGTTAAAATCCAGGGAGAGGCGGATGAGCTCCCTCTATCAGCTCCAGCTCCTCATGCAGGGACATGAGAGAAGCCACCCACAAGGATGATAAAAACATCAAATCATCCGGGTGTCCCCTGGGCAACGTCCTTGCAGACGGCCAATTCACTCACACCAGAAGCAACTTGCAGTTTCTCAAGACGCTCCTGACACAACAACAAAAAAACTCCCCCGAAGGGGACTCAGAGCGGCTCACAAGATATATATACACACAAATGTGAGTAGGTCAATAGGTACTGCTCCAGTGGCGGGAAGGTAACAGCGCTCCATGCAGCCATGCTGGCCACATGACCTAGGAGGTGTCTATGGACAACGGCGGCTCAGAAATGGAGATGAGCACCAGAGTCGGACATGACTGGACTTAACATCATGGCAAAACCTTTACCTTTCATAATAACAGAATTGGAAGAGACCGCATGATGGACCACCGAGTCCAACCCCTTGACATGCAAGAAGAACACAATCAAAGCACCCCTGACAGATGGCCATCCAGCCTTTGCTTAACAACAACAATAATAGAACTATAGAATAATAATAATAATAATAATAATAATAATAAAACTATAGAATCCTAGAGAAGGAAGAGATCTTTAAAGGCCATCCAGTCCTAACTGCTGCCATGCAGAAAGAACACAATCAAAGCACCCCTGACAGATGGCCATCCAGCCTTTGCTTAACAACAACCATAATAATAGAACTATATAATAATAATAATAATAATAATAATAATAATAGAACTACAGAATCCTAGAGTAGGAAGAGATCTTTAAAGGCCATCCAGTCCTAACTGCTGCCATGCAGAAAGAACACAATCAAAGCACCCCTGACAGAGGGCCATCCAGCCTTTGCTTAACAACAACAACCATAATAATAGAACTATATAATAATAATAATAATAATAATAATAATAATAGAACTATAGAATCCTAGAGAAGGAAGAGATCTTTAAAGGGCATCCAGTCCTAACTGTTGCCATGCAGAAAGAACACAATCAAAGCACCCCTGACAGAGGGCCATCCAGCCTTCGCTTAACAACAACAACAACAACAATAATAATAGAACTATAGAATCCTAGAGAAGGAAGAGATCTTTAAAGGCCATTTAGCCCAACTCTGGCCCTCCAGGTGTTTTGGACTCCAACTCCCACAATTCCTAACAGCTTACTGGCTGTTAGGAATTGTGGGAGTTGTAGTCCAAAGCAGCTGGAGGGTAGGCCCAAGCCTGGTGTCCCTCTCTCCCTGTCTCACCGGGGGCGTGCGAGGAGGCCTGCCTCTGCTGCTGGCTCTGGGCGAAGAGCTCGGCGTCGGCCACGGAGCCGAAGAGGGCGGCGAAGGGGTTCCGCGAGATCCCGCCGCCACTGCTGTTGTTGTTCTCCCGGTCGGTCATGGCCACCCGGCCATTGGCATTGGCTCTGTCGTCGCCGCCGCCGCTTCAGGCTCACTTCCCAGTCAGTCCACCGGGCCACGCGTGATGACGTCTTCCGGCCGCGCGTCATCAAAAGGCGGCGGAAGTGAGCGGATTTGCGGAAGTCATCTTTGGGCGCATGCGTGGAAAGAAAGAAGGGATGGGGAGGAATGGAAGCCGCCTTTGGGCGCATGCGCAGAAGGAGAGACAGGATGGGGAGGATCCTGGCCCTTCTCTCCTGAGTGTTTCTCCTTCTCAGACAGTTTTGAATTAAGGACTGAGTTAAATCCCACATCCAGAGGACAGAAGCAGAATTCAAAACGATCTTGACAGATTAGAGAGATGGGCCAAAACTAACAAAATGAAGTTCAACAGGGACAAATGCAAGATACTCCACTTTGGCAGGAAAAACGAAATGCAAAGATACAGAATGGGGGACGATGAGGCCTGGCTCGAGAGCAGGACATGTGAAAAAGATCTTGGAGTCCTCGTGGACAACAAGTTAAACATGAGCCAACAATGTGATGTGGCGGCAAAAAAAGCCAATGGGATTTTGGCCTGCATCAATAGGAGCCGAGTGTCTAGATCTAAGGAAGTAATGCTACCCCTCTATTCTGCTTTGGTTAGACCACATCTGGAATATTGTGTCCAATTCTGGGCACCACAATTCAAGAGAGATATTGACAAGCTGGAATGTGTCCAGAGGAGGGCAACTAAAATGATCAAGGGTCTGGAGAACAAGCCCTATGAGGAGCGGCTTAGGAACTGGGCATGTTTAGCATGAAGAAGAGAAGGCTGAGAGGAGATATGATAGCCATGTATAAATATGTGAGAGGAAGCCACAGGGAGGAGGGAGCAAGCTTGTTTTCTGCTTCCTGGAGACTAGGACGCGGAACAATGGCTTCAAACTACAAGAGAGGAGATTCCATCTGAACATGAGGAAGAACTTCCTGACTGTGAGAGCCGTTCAGCAGTGGAACTCTCTGCCCGGAGTGTGGTGGAGGCTCCTTCTTTGGAAGCTTTTAAACAGAGGCTGGATGGCCATCTGTCAGGGTGATTTGAATGCAATATTCCTGCTTCTTGGCAGGGGGTTGGACTGGATGGCCCATGAGGTCTCTTCCAACTCTTTGATTCTATGATTCTATGATTCTATGATATGCTTCGAACTGGGATATATGGCAGCGTGGGCACAGATTGTTTATTTACTTCTTTATATCTATATCTATAAAAATGTTCTGTGCATAATGAGTGCCTTAAAAACAAAAGAACCAATGAAGGAAATCACACCAAATTTGGCAACAAAACGTCTCACAAAAACAAGGAGTGACCATCATTCAAAAAATTACAATTTTGTCATTTGGGAGTTGTAGTTGCTGGGATTTATAGTTCACCTACAATCAAAGAGCATTCTGAACTCCACCAATGATGCAATTGAACCGAACTTGGCACACAGAACTCCCATGACCAACAGAAAATTCTGGAAGGGTTTGGTGGGCATTGACCTTGAGGTTGGGAGTTGTAGTTCACCCACATCCAGAGAGCACTGTGGACTCAGACAATGATGGAGCATTCTGAACTCTACCTGTGATGGAATTGGACCAAACTTGGCACACAGAACTTCCACGACCAACAGAAAATATTGGAAGGGTTTGGTGGGCATTGACCTTGAGTTTGGGAGTTGTAGTTCACCTACATGCAGAGAGCACTGCGGACTCAAACAATGATGGATCTGGACCAAACTTGGCACAAGCACTCAATACGCCCAAATATGAACACTGATGGAATTTGGGGAAAATAGACCTTGACATTTGGGAGTTGTAGTTGGTGGGATTCACAGTCCATCTACAATCAAAGAGCATTCTGAACCCCACGAATGACAGAATCGGAGCAAACTTCCCACACAGAACCCTCATGACCATCAGAAAATACTTAAGGCCATCCAGTCCAACTCCCTTCATCAGGGCAAGAAAACATAATCAAAGTCCTCCTGACAAAGAGCAATCCAGCCATAGATATAGATAGATCGATAGATAGATATGATAGATATGATTCACACACAGAGAGATATAGTATCATAGATTTGAAAGGGACCCCTAAAGAAGGACAATTCTATGTTGCATGTTCCAGGGTGGGCAAACCAGACACTCCACATCAACACTGACAAAAAAACTGCAAGAAATACTGTTTACCTACAAGCAGAAAGACATGACATAGATTAGAAACCAACACTTTTTCATTACTTTATTTTCCAGATCACCAGACTGGGCCATGTGGGTATTTGTGTCAAATTTGGTCCAGTGTATGAAAATACATCCGGCATATCAGATATTTTCATTACGATTCATAACAGCAGCAAAATGACAGTTATGAAGTCGCAATGAAACTAATGTTATGGTTGGGGGTCTCCATAACATGAGGAAGCGTATGAAGGGGTCGTGGCATTAGGAAGGTTGAGAAACACTGATGTAATGCAATATACTATTGCCACATTTCCCACCCTTGGCTTATACTCAAGTCAATCCATTTCCCCAGCTTTTTGTGGTAAAATTAGGTGCCTCGGCTTATATTCGGGTCGGCTTATACTCGAGTATATACGGTACATTAAAACATTTAAACCATTCATTAAATCAATAGATTAAACACGCCAGTTAAAAATGGTTGAGGAAAGCTTGTCAACTAGCAAATGAATACATTCTCTTTGGCCAACATGGCCAAGCTTTGAGTAACGTGGTCATCCTTTGGTCAATCTGGCTGCCCTTTGGTCTGGTTGGCCACATTCTTTCCTCGATCCAGCTGTCCTATGGTCTGTAAGACCTCCAGAGCCTGGCCATACACTGTCTGTTTTCCTCCTTTTTCCCAGGTTGTTTATCAGGAAGGGGAACCGTTGAAGGTGCGTTTCTCAGAAAAGAGGCTGCATCTGTTGCCTCTCCGACGTCTTCTCGTTTACCTAAGTCTACGCAATGGGGAGAGGCCTCTGCCCACAGACTTCCTTTGCGGAGAGGAGCGTTCTTGCTGCTCTTCTGCATCGCAGGCAACCGAGACTACGCTCAGAACGATAATCATTTGGATCCTGCAACCTGAGTGCGTTCCGTTTGGCACCGAGGGATCCAAGGATGGGGAGGGTCTGCCACCCCTGGTCTGTTGCTACCCTTGGGTTGCTCTTTGCAGGTAGGGCTCATTGGCCACCCTTCAATGGGTCAAAGGAAGAGGGACATCAAGATCCTGAGTTGCTTTGAGGGGCTTGCTTCTTGGTGTCTCTCCCGTCTTTGTCTTCCGCTCCTCACCATTGATGTGCTCGGACTGTGTTTTGCAAGGTGTCCTTATTGGAATTCAACCCCACACTACCCAAGTCTCAAGTCCTCAATGAGGAACAGTTTTGTTAGCTTAGTATAGACTAAGGTAGTGTTTCTCAACCTGGGGGTCAGGACCCCTGGGGGGGTCGTGAGAGGGTGTCCAAGGGGTCGCCAAAGACCATCAGAAAACTGTATTTTCTCCTGGTCATCTGGGTTATATGTGGAAAGTTAGGTCCAATTCTATTGTTGGTGGGGTTCAGGATCCTCTTTGATTGTAGGTGAACTATAAATCCCAGCAACTACAACTCCCAAATGTTAAAGTCTATTTTCCCCAAACTCCACCAGTGTCCACATTTGGGGATATTGAGCATCTGTGCCAAGTTTGATCCAGATCCATCCTAGCTTGACTCTCTGGATGTAGGTGAACTAAAACTTCCAAACTCAAGGTCAATGCCCACCAAACTCTTCCAGTATTTTCTGTTGGTCACGGGAGTTCTATGTGCCAAGTTTAGTTCAATTCCATCACTGGTGGAGTTCAGAATGCTCTTTGATTGTAGGTGAACTATAAATCCAAGCAGCTACATCTCCCAAATGACAAAATCCACCCCCTCCCCAAAAAAAAACCCCTCACCAGTATTCAAATGTGGGTATATCAAGTATTTGTGCCAAATTTGGTCCAGTGAATTAAAATACATCCTGCATATCAGGTATTTATATTATGATTTATAACAATTTACAGTTATGAAAGTAGTAGCGAAAATATTATTGTTGGGGGTCACCACAACATGAGGAACAGCATTAAGGGGTCACGGCATTAAGAAGGTTGAGAACCACTGGTATAGACTAAGGGTTTCCCTTTCCCCATGCATAGAGGTGGCCTGGCTGTTGTTGCCTGTAGGCACCCTCTGTTTGGGATGTGTTAACTGGCACTTGATTGTTTGTTGTCTAGGGTTCCCCTGTTTCTTTATTTACTGTCTTGATTCTCTTGTTTTTAAATACAGGGAACTAGATTGTGCTCATTTTCATGGTTTCCTCCTCTCTGTTGAAATTGTCCACATGCATTACAGTTGGAATGTTATATATCTAATTTCTTCTTTCCTCTCTGTTTCCGCTCTCATTCTGATTGGTTTAACATGGATACTTTCCTACTGCAAGCCTTTTTGAATCTGACTTCTGCCTTCTTACATTTTTTGGTATGGAGAGTGTGCGGTGTGTGCTTTGAGATCCCTCTCTGCTTGTGTGTCAGGAGAAATGTCGTGACTGAGTTTTCCCCTTTCTTGAAACCTTAGAAGAGATGGGTGTTAGAGTAGCTCGGACCCAGTTCTTGATTACTAAGAAATGCAGTTGTTTCTTATTATTGTAAACTAGCCGTCCCCTGCCACACGTTGCTGTGGCCCACATGGGGGTTCTGTGTGGGAGGTTTGGCCCAATTCTATCGTTGGTGGGGTTCAGAATGCTCTGTGATTGTAGGTGAACTATAAATCCCAGCAACTACAACTCCCAAATGTCAAGATTCTATTTTCCCCAAACTCCACCAGTGTTCACATTTGGGCATATTGACTATTCTTGCAGAGTTTGGTCCAGATCCATCATTGTTTGAGTCCACAGTGATCTCTGGATGGAGGTGAACTACAACTCCCAAACCAAAGGACCCACCAAACCCTTCCAGTATTTTCTGTTGGTCATGGAAGTTCTGTGTGCCAAGTTTAGTTCTATTCCATTGTTGGTGGGGTTCAGAATGCTCTGTGATTGTAGGTGAACTATAAATCCCAGCAACTGCAACTCCCAAATGTCAAGATCCTATTTCCCCCAAACTCCACCAGTGTTCACATTTTGGCATATTGAGTATTCGTGTAGAGTTTGGTCCAGATCCATCCTTGTTTGAGTCCACAGTGATCTTTGGATGTAGGTGAACTACAACTCCAAAGCCAAAGGACACTGCCCACCAAAACCTTCGAGTATTTTCTGTTGCTCATGGGAGTCCTGTGTGCCAAGTTTGGTTCAATTCCATCGTTGGTTGAGTTCAGAATGCTCTTTGATTGTAGGTGAACTATAAATCCCAGCAACTACAACTCCCAAATGACAAAATCAATTTTTTTTTGAGTGAAGGGCATACATTGGGTTGTTAGGTGTCTTGTGTCCAAATGTGGTGCCAATTCGTCAAGTGGTTTTTGAGTTCTGTTAATCCCACAAACGAACATGACATTTTTATTTATATAGATAGTTGTTTATGTTTTGGTTTTATTTTGCTGTAACATGTTGTCTGGGCTTGGCCCCATGTAGAATCCTAGAATCCTAGAGTTGGAAGAGACCTCCTGGGCCATCCAGTCCAACCCCATTCTGCCAAGAAGCAGGAATATTGCATTCAAATCACCCCTGACAGAGGGCCATCCAGCCTCTGTTTAAAAGCTTCCAAAGAAGGAGCCTCCGCCACACTCCAGGGCAGAGAGTTCCACTGCTGAACGGCTCTCACAGTCAGGAAATTATTATTATTATTCTTTTGCATTATTACCTACCTGAGATTGGGGCAAATGCAACTCTTGGGTATCCCTCTCACTTCCAGTTTAATAGATCATTTTTATTTATATAGATAAACCTTTTGTGATTTTGAAAGGCTGGACTCCGCAACTTCACCTCCTAAGCTCTGGATTCTTTGCAGCCACGTCACACGGCACCTTCACGCTCTGTGAGCTGTTGCTCCACTTTTGTATCCTGTTTGTTTGTGGATGCTCTGCTTTATATTTTAGAGTAGTTTTCCTCTAACTGTCTTCTCTCCATTTCTTTTCAGGGACGGTTGTCATTTTTGCCAAAGAATCTGCTTCGGAAACAGGTAGGGTTTGTCCCAGTTCCTATGGGGAGGGAAAGCTGGACTCTCTAAGCTCCACCGTCCATTAAACTGGACCGAGCAAGACCTCCGTCAGGATGACCGACATCCACCGAGGCTGTTGTGTGGGTGATGCCAGGGGCCAGAATCGAAAGTCTCTTTCCCTCATCCCCAAAATGCACAGATTGAGTCTGATTCAGGAGGCAGGTCCCTGATGAGGCTTTATTTATTTATCGTGTCATCAGCAACCAAACATTTCTATTACATTTTTAACAAAAACAAACAAACAAACAGACAAAACACAGAATTTGCAAGCTTGGTAGTTGATTAAATGTCCTTTGACCAGTATCTGGCCACTTGGAGTGCATCTGGTGTTGCCGCAAGAAGGTCCTCCATTGTGCATGTGGCAGGGCTCAGGGTGCATTGCAGCAGGTGGTCAGTGGTTTGCTCTTCTCCACACTCGCATGTCATGGGATTCCACTTTGTGGCCCCATTTCTTGAGGTTGGCTCTGCATCTCGTGGTGCCAGAGCGCAGTCTGTTCAGCGCCTTCCAAGTCGCCCAGTCTTCTGTGTGCCCAGGAGGGAGTCTCTCATTTGGTATCAGCCATTGGTTGAGGTTCTGGGTTTGAGCCTGCCACTTTTGGACTCTCGCTTGCTGAGGTGTTCCAGCGAGTGTCTCTGTAGATCTTAGAAAACTATTTCTTGATTTAAGTCGTTGACGTGCTGGCTGATACCCAAACAGGGGATGAGCTGGAGATGTCTCTGCCTTGGTCCTTTCACTATTGGCTGCTACTTCCCGGCGGATGTCAGGTGGTACAATACCGGCTAAACAGTGTAATTTCTCCACTGGTGTAGGGCGCAGACACCCCATGATAATGCGGCATGTCTCATTAAGAACCACATCCACTGTTTTAGTGTGGTGAGATGTGTTCCACACTGGGCATGCGTACTCAGCAGCAGAGTAGCATAGCGCAAGGGCAGATGTCTTCACTGTGTCTGGTTGTGATCCCCAGGTTGTGCCAGTCAGCTTTCGTATGATATTGTTTCTAGCGCCCACCTTTTGCTTGATGTTCAGGCAGTGCTTCTTGTAGGTCAGAGCACGGTCCAGAGTGACTCCCAGGGATTTGGGTGCGCTGCAAGGCTCCAATGGGATTCCTTCCCAGGTAATCCTCAGAGCCTGATGAGGCTGATTCTGTGTAAATGGAGACACCTGAGGTGGCTTGGTGTTGTGGCTCAGCCTGAGCATGGGCTTTCTGAGCCTGAGTTTCCTCAGGACGAGGAGAATGATGGGTTACATTTTCTGCATATGTCCCTGTTGTTGAGGCAGACAGTGTTGATTTTGAAGCACCTCAGTTTCCCAGGGAAAAGAACATTGTTTTAGAAGACAGTCATGATTTTGATTCACAGCTGCAAGTGGAGGAGTTGGCTGTACCTTCTGTGAATTCAGGGCATATTGATTCCCAGGCAGGCAAGTCGCAAGATAATGAGGGATCCGGTCTTGAAAGTAATGAGGATTTGCTTAGGGAGGACCGTTTGCAATTAAAGTTATGCCGTAGCACTCGGCTTGCAAACAAGCAGGAAGGTCGAGGGCAACGTAATGCTTTCATGCTAGCAAAGCATATTTAATGATCTGTTTGAAGGCAACTCCGTGTCAGAGTAACTTCACTCACACCCTGTGAACTTCCTTGAAATCTCCTCAGCTTTAAGGGGACAGCTGTCAGCTCTTTGGGACTTTGGTTTTGTATAATAATAATAATAATAATAATAATAATAATAATAATAAACCTTTATTTATACCCTGCTACCATCTCCCGGAGGACTCGGTGCGGCTTACAAGAGGCCGAGTCCAAATACATTAATACAGCACAACACAGCAATACAGACAATAAATCAACTCATAACAAAGCAATAAATAGTAATAATAACACCACGATGCGTTAAAAACCTATGGCAGGGCCAAATGTAATAATTAAAATTTTAAAATACTGGGCATGACAAGGAGACATATAACTAGGGTGGGTATTTGGAGAGAGATGGAGCGAACAGACAATCCTAGATCATTAGTAAAGTGCGATTAGGGACATGTTGCTTAGGGTTTCCCTATTCTGGGAAGGCACACTGGAACAACCATGTTTTCAAGCTCCTCTTAAAGACTGCCAAAGTTGGGGCATGCCTAATGTCCTTGGGGAGCGAGTTCCAGAGTCGAGGGGCCACCACCGAGAAGGCCCTGTCCCTCGTCCCCACCAATCGCGCTTGCGATGGAGGTGGGATCGTGAGTAGGGCCTCTCCAGATGAACGAAGAGATCGTGTCGGTTCGTACACAGAGATGCGGTCACGCAGGTAGGCGGGTCCCAAACTTCGTTCCTGGGACTTTGTCATGATGCCATGGATTCTGGTTTGAGCAATGCTTTTGGATTATATTCATGTTATTTGCTTTTGGACCTTGGAAGCTTTGCCTTGCATTTGAGATCCTGTTTTGACTTTTGAACTTCAGCTACCATATTTCTATGTTTTTGATTTTACCTTTCTTCAATAAACTAAAAAACCTACAGCCCTGGTGTGTGGTGTTGTTCTGAGCAAGGTGAATCTATCTTGAGTTGTGACACTTGGCCTCCAGGGCTGCTCCTTCCCTCTGTCCTCCTCTCTCTCACCCCCCTTTTTTAGGGCTGTCCATCAAGGTGAAGCAGAATGGAAGGAACGTCACCCTGCACTGTGTTGGAGGGAGCGAGCTGTTCAACTGGACGAAGGACGGGGTCCTCTTGAAGGGCCACGAGGGAGAGGAGCTGCCCTTGGGCTCTGCCATGGATGACCCCAGAGGTTCCTTCTCCTGCCAGTCTAAAGACCAGACAGCTTCCATGCAGGTCTTCTTCCGGAGTGAGTGTGCCTGTTGTCTTTCTCCTCTGTCGTCTCCCAAAGAGGCCACGAGAGTGGCGCCCCGAAATATGGGACCCCAGGCCTGTACTCCTTGGTGAGAGACCCTGTGATAGAGCAGGAATTTAGGGGTCTTTTCCAGGAGGCAGAGACCAATTAGACTCATCAAAGAGTTCTTTTTCCCTGGCGAGACAGAGAAGCACCCAATCCCTGATTTTTTCCAATAAAAAGGTCTTACCAAGTTGAAGGAAGTGCCACCGAGATATTTTATTTGCGATTCAGCTGAAAAGGATGCAGAGCAGCAATCATTCGCCAAGCAGAGCATGTGGTTACAGAAATAAAGGCCATTTTTATAGAAAATACAGAGTTGTGAGTTTCAAAATTCCCACTCCCCCCTCCCGCCCAGCTCGAAGGGGATTGGCTGACGCGCAAACAGCTGGGAGGAGGCTTGGCCGTCCCCCATGCATCAGGGCCAATCACAGGGCTTTCGCGGGGCGTCAGAGCCTATCAGGAGGCTCTTACTGCCTTGACGCTCCAGCGAATCAGAAGGGAGGGAGGCGGGATGAAGGGAGACAATGCATTCTGGAGTGGATTATGACAAGATTGTCCCTGAGGCTTAGCGAGATCCGGGTTGGGGGGGGGGGGTCTGCCAGCCAAGCCATTCTATTGTGTTCATGAGTGAAGGCAATAAACATATGTTAAAGAAATCCGGCTTTTCCTGTCACCATCAGATATGACACAAAGGGGAAGAATTGGGTGGAAGTTCTTTGTGGAGAAGTTTGAAAGAAAAACGGCTTGTAGGAAAAGAGCACTTTCCTAAGGTCATATTCCCCCCATTGTTATATGATTAAAAAGTCTGCCAAACAGAAATCCTAATGATGGCCCAACTCCGAAGTCAAAAGGATTTCCTTTACTATTGTCCATGCAAAGAATGTCCAAAGAGAAGGGTCTTTTCCTGATCGCTGATGGCTTTTCCAGAGGCAGGGCAGCTTCCTTGTAGATTTCCCCCAAGGAGAGGGGAAGGGGGCAAAAGGGTCAAGGCAAGGTCAAATACATGAAGGGAAATATAAAAATACAGGAGAAAATATGAAAATATAGAAATCATAACACAGAGTAAACCCAACTACCTTCCCCCGGTGTCCATAGTTCATATTATTCATAGGAAGGTCCATAAAGGGAAATATCTCCCTGAGGGGGAAAGAGAGTCCCTTGTGTGTGAGATGGGGGACCCTCAGGAGCCCAGGTGTGCCCCAGGTGGAAAAATTCAAATACTTTTGTGGCATGATTGTCAGTAATAAATTGGTTACTTTCTGCTGTAAACATATGAAAATAGAGCATAAAGCCTTGGTTAAATGATACCCACCAAACTGACCAAGGCTTAACCCTTATTATCCAGCCTGGCGTCCTTGCCCTTAGCAAAACTATAAGTTGCTATCTCTTATGGGGGGAGGGGGGTTGTGTTTGACTTCAACCCCACATCTCCACTCCAGTCACTGGGACTGCAAACTCCCTCCAAATATACACAATATATATGTTTCTCTTTAATGTTGCTTGCAAGGCAAAGTGTCTTAATAAAAATAATTGATTGTAGCCAAATTGTTGTCTTAATGTTAGCAAACGAGGCACCGACAATGATGATGAGAGGAAGTCATCATTTCCTTGCTTTCTTCTTCCTTTCTTTTGAGTGTAACCTGGGGCTTCTCTCACCAAAACTTCTCTCACTGAGGCCTACCTCACACTGAGGTCTACTAACACTGAGGCTTTCCTCACACTGAAAAGCTTAAGTGGCTGAGGGGGGAAAGGAAAGGGCCTGAGTCATTCTTTCCTTCCTTTCCTCTTCTTTTCTTTTGAGTGTAACCTGGGGCTTCTCTCACCAAAACTTCTCTCACTGAGACCTACCTCACACTGAGGCTTTCCTCACACTGAAAAGCTTAAGTGGCTGAGGGGAGAAAGGAAAGGGCCTGAGTCATTCTTTCCTTCCTTTCTTCTTCCTTTCTTTTGAGTGTAACCTGGGGCTTCTCTCACCAAAACTTCTCTCACTGAGGCCTGCCTCACACTGAGGTCTACTAACACTGAGGCTTTCCACACACTGAAAAGCTTAAGTGGCTAAGGGGGGAAAGGAAAGGGCCTGAGTCATCATTTCCTTGCTTTCTTCTTCCTTTCTTTTGAGTGTAACCTGGGGCTTCTCTCACCAAAACTTCTCTCACTGAGGCCTGCCTCACACTGAGGCCTACTAACACTGAGGCTTTCCTCACACTGAAAAGCTTAAGTGGCTGAGGGGAGAAAGGAAAGGGCCTGAGTCATTCTTTCCTTCCTTTCTTCTTCCTTTCTTTTGAGTGTAACCTGGGGCTTCTCTCACCAAAACTTCTCTCACTGAGGCCTGCCTCACACTGAGGTCTACTAACACTGAGGCTTTCCACACACTGAAAAGCTTAAGTGGCTGAGGGGGGAAAGGAAAGGGCCTGAGTCATTCTTTCCTTCCTTTCTTCTTCCTTTCTTTTTAGTGTAACCTGGGGCTTCTCGCACCAAAACCTCTCTCACTGAGGCCTGCCTCACACTGAGGTCTACTAACACTGAGGCTTTCCTCACACTGAGGAAAGCTTAAGTGGCTGCAGGGGGGAAAGGAAAGGGCCTGAGGCTGTTGGGAATGATGGGAGTTGGAGTCCGAAACACCTGGAGGGCCAAAGTTGGCCCAGGCCTGTATTAGAGCATTTGAGTGTCCCAAATGTAAGGAGAGGAAGTGCCCGCAGCTGCAGAGGGAGGACGAACGGTGGCCCCACGGAAGAGCCCTACCACGCTTTGCTCCCCACATCTCCCCTGCTTTCTGTTCGTGTTCCACGGGAGGTGGGCCATTGGTGTGTGCTGACCCTTGCTCAGTGATGTCCCCTCTCTGCCCCACAGTGTGCCAGAACTGCATCCACCTCGATGCCCCCACCATCCTGGGGATTGGGATAGCCAGCCTCGTGGCTACCCTGTTCCTGGCCGTTGCCGTCTTCTGCCTGGCTGTGGAGGAGCCCAGCCTGCGATCTCAAGGTGAGAGGTGGGCAGCAGAGGCAGGTGGGTGGGCACTGGATGGGATGGGAAACCTTCCCCTTCTCCTTCTCCTTGGTGGGGTGCCTGGCATCGGAGACACTCCCAGACATCTCCTTGGGCAGCAGAAAGGCTGCTTTGTCTGTAGTAATGGGACTCCCTTCCCTATGGGGCCTCCAAAAAGGGGTCAGTGTGGAGGGCACGCTCCTCTTGTCTCTGCCTGGCTCCAGAGAGCTGCCTTCCCCTTGGCTGACCCGGCCTTTCCCAGGGTCTAAGGTTTCCTCTTCTCTTGTTTGTCCTTTCTCTCCTTTTGTCAGCATCCGATAAGCAGAACCTGCTGGCCAACGAGCAGCTCTATCAGGTGAGTGCATCGGTTGCCACAAGGCTGGCTTCGGCCTCCCTGCCATTGTGGAGTCATTGGCTGGCCGTGCATCCCATGCTTGGGGAGGCCCCCAGCAACGCCTGCCTTTGCCCCAGACGTTGGTGGCTTGGCTCAGCCTCCGACCTTGCAAGACTGGCCTTTGCTCCTGCAGCTCCGTCCTGGGCTTGGATCTTGAGTAATGGCTTAGGTCAGTGTTTCTCCACCTTTCTAATACCGTGACCCCTTAATACAGTTCTTCATGTTGTGATGACCCCCAACCATAACATTATTTTATTTATTTATTTATTTATTTATTATTTGAACTTATATGCCTCCACTCCCCTGGGGCTCGGAGCGGCTTACAAGAATGACTGAAATCTAACACAATTTAAAAACTATTTAAAACTATTTAAAAACAGCAATATCAAACATTAAAAGCCTGTCGAAACAGGCACGGACTTCAGGTGGCAGAGTATTCCAGAGCGATGGTGCCACTGCTGTGAAGGCTCTGCGTCTGGTTGCAGTTAGACGCAAGGTCTTGACACTGGGAATTTCCAATAGATCTTGGTCCTCAGAACGGAGGGATCTCTGGGGTTGGTAGGGGGTGAGGCGGTCCCTCAGGTACCTTGGCCCCAGACCATGCAAGGCCTTACAGGTGAGTACCATCACTTTGAAAGTGATCCGGTGCTCAATTGGTAACCAATGCAGCTGCAGGAAGATTGGGGTGATGTGGCATCTCATCGGAATTTCCGCAAGAAGCCGAGCAGCTGCATTTGGTACCAACTTGAGCTTCCGGATCACCGATAGAGGAAGGCCAATGTAGAGGGCGTTACAGTAGTCCAGTCTGGAGATGACCGTGGCCTGGATCACTGTAGCCAGGTCGCCCCTGGACAGGGAGGGGGCCAGCCGTCTAGCCTGCCGCAGGTGAAAGAAAGAAGGCGGTTCTGCTCACGGCGGAGAGAGACCTGGGCCTCCATCGTCAGCAGAGGGTCCAAGAGGATTCCCAGACTATTTTGCTACTTCATAACTGTAATTTTGCTCCTGTTATGAATGGTACTGCAATTATCTGATAAGCAGGGTGTATTTTCACTGGATCACATTTGGCACAAATACCCAATATGCCCAAATTTGCATAGTGGTGGGATTGGGAGGAGGGGGGTTGATTGATTGATTTTGTTATTTGGGAGTTCGAGTTGTTGGGATTTGTAGTTCACCTACAATCTGAACTCCACCAATGATGAAATTGAATCAAACCTGGCACACAAAACTCCCATGGCCAACAGAAAACACTGGAAGGGTTTGGTGGGCATTGACCTTGAGTTTGGGAGTTGTAGTTCACCTATATCCAGACAGCACTGTGGACTCAAACAATGATGGATCTGGGCCAAACTTGGCACGAATTCTTAATATGCCCAAATGTGAACACTGGTGGAGTTTGGGGGAAACTAGACCTTGATATTTGGGAGTTGTAGTTGCTGGGATTTATAGTTCACCTACAATCAAAGAGCATTCTGAACCCTACCAACGATAGAATTGGGCCAAACTTCCCACGCACAACCTCCATGACCAACAGAAAATACTGTGTTTTCTGGTGGTGTTTGGTGACCCCTCTGACACCCCCTCGTGACCCCTCCAGGGGTCCCGACCCCCAGGCTGAAAAACACTGTCATAGGGCTTGTTCTCCAGACCTTTGATCATTTGAGTCACCCTCCTCTGGACACATTCCAGCTTGTCAATATCTCTCTTCAATGGTGGTGCCCAGTGAATGGCACTCCTGACTAAGGAGTTGGTCTCTTCCAACTCTACGATTCTATGATTCTGTGATCTTGCTCTTTCGTGGCCTCTTCTGTGGCCCCAATGGCATTCTGTCTTTGGTCCCTAACTGTAATCCTTGGGTGCCTCCTGCTCGTCTTGGCCGTTCCTTGGACATTGCTTAACGCAGGCCTCTCTTCCCCACCAGCCTCTTGGAGAACGCAACAATGGGCAATACAGCCACGTCGGGGTTGCCAAGACGCGCCGCCGGTGAAAATGGGATGCAGGAGGAGAACACCCATTTTGCCCCTGGCATTCCTGATGATCTCTTCAACTCGTGCGGACCACCGGGCAACAACCATCCTTGCTTCTTTTACCAAGACTTCCAGATGGGAAATGGCTTCAGGCAGTAGAATAGGAAGCCAAACATACCGTATATACTCGAGTATAAGCCTAGTTTTTCAGCCCCCTTTTTTAGGCTGAAAAAGCTGCCCTCGGCTTATACTCGAGTCAAAGTTATTTATTATTATACTCTGTTATTACTATTATTTTTGTTACATTTATTATTTTCCTCTATTGTGTGGGTACGGCTGTACCAAAAGCTCCAACTTCCTTTTCTTTCCTTGAGTGTTTGCATGTATTCCAAAGTTCCATGCATTTTGCAATAAGGTGGCTTCCCTTGGTTTGCAATCATAGGGCCTATGACCCATCAATCATTGTTACGTTTTGGTTCCTCCCCTTTCCCCAGGGCTCTGGGAGGAGAGGGAGCCATTTTAGGTCAGTCTTGCATTGGAAAGCTTATGTTGGGGTTCAGCCTCTGTGTGAACCTGAGCCCCAATCTCTGTGTGAACCTGATTCTCTGATTGTATTTCCAACTGAGCAAGCCACCGAACATGTATCTCTCCATGATAGTGTTGAAACTGTTGTTGATGCTGAGGTCAGTGGCAGGGAAAGTGAAACTAAACAGCCTGATGAAAATGTTTTGGAATCCAGCCGTGAAAGCTCTCCAGAGGAAATCACACTTGGGTTTTTTAATGAGGACCGAAGGGAACAGATAGCTAGAGACAGGAGTGATTCACAGTTTCTACGAAGGTCAAATAGATTACAGGAGAGACAGGCCCAGGCTTCAAAGTCAAGGGGCGTTTCAAGGAATAGTTTCTTTGGTTTAAGGGGCCTTCCCCCGGTTGTCTCATTAGATCAAGCAACGTTTTAGACTGCGGCTGTGCCTTGGCAGAATTCCTGTGTTCCATGGCCGGTAATCCCAGAGGCTTCTAGTTTTCAAGTACACGGTTAGTGAGATGCTAACAGGTTCCTGGTTTTTGTATTGTGGTTTTTGTAATTTTGCTCAAGTTCAGAGATTTTCATGACTGCTGTGTTTCTATTGTGGCTTTTTGACTTTGCATTTACCTTTCTTTTGTAACCAATTTTTCATCAATAAAAAAGGATTGTTTTTTCTGCAGTCCAGTGTGGTGGATTTAATCTTATGGTCTCGTTTCCTAATCTGGGATGCAACAGCTTAGCTACAGGACGTGGATTAGCTCCACCTTTAGAGAAGCTTTGTTTCTCACAGTATCCGGGGGAAATTCCGGTTCCAAAGGACTCCAGCTGGAGAATCTACAAAGCCTTGGCTGGTAGGTCTACTCGGGACCCAAGAAGCAGTTTGGAGCCGGGAGTAGAGCCCACACCAGCAAAGTTTAGAAAGTAGATTGCCCAAGGAGGGGTTAAAAGGGGTTTTCCTCTTAAAGAAAAGAAAGAGTTCACGAAGCCAGTTGCCTGTCCCTTGTGGACAAGATTAAGAAAGCCACCAGTTGATTCAAAGCTTTGAAGCATTTGTTTAATTTGTTGAAGATCTAAGAAGTATCTGATTGCTTGTTGAAGACTTAAGCAATAATAAAGGACTTTGTTAAACCTTTCAAGCCTCTAAAGACTCTGTATAGGAAAACCCTTAGGGCCTCTCATTCGAGGCACCCCGGCTTCCCGCTGGGCACAAAGAGCACGTCCTGTTCAAAAGCCAACCGCTATAGGCCCAGCGCGTGATAGCACATCTATTACTGGTATTATTACATTTGCATTATTTTACTCTATTATTATTTTATCACATTTATTTTACTCTATTATTATTACATTTATTATTTTACTCTGTTATTACTATTATTTTTATTACATTTATTATTTTCTTCTATTATTGGTATTATTACATGTGCATTATTTTACTCTATTATTATTTTATTACATTTTCTGTACTCTATTTATTATTATTATTACATTTATAATTTTACTTTAGTATTATTGCTATTACATTTATTATTTTACTCTATTATTATTTTATTACATTTATTTTACTCTATTATTATTACATTTATTATTTTACTTTATTATTGTTGTTATTACATTTATTATTTTACTCTGTTATTACTATTATTTTTATTACATTTATTATTTTCCTCTTATTATTTTATTACATTTACTTTACTCTATTTATTATTATTATTACATTTATAATTTTATTTTAGTATTATTGCTATTACATTTAAATTTTTTACTTTAGTATTATTGCTATTACATTTATTATTTTATTCTATTATTGCCATTATTACATTTGCATTATTTTACTCTATTATTATTTTATTACATTTATTTTAATCTATTATTTATTATTATTATTACATTTATAATTTTACTTTAGTATTATTGCTATTACATTTATTATTTTACTCTATTATTGTCATTATTACATTTGCTTTATTTTACTCTATTATTATTTTATTACATTTATTTTAATCTATTTATTATTATTACATTTATAATTTTACTTTATTATTGTTGTTATTACATTTACTATTTTACTCTATTATTATTTTATTACATTTACTCTATTTATTATTATTATTGTTGTTGTTGTTCATTCGTTCAGTCGTCTCCGACTCTTCGTGACCTCATGGACCAGCCTACGCCAGAGTTCCCTGTCGGCCGTTACCACCCCCAGCTCCCTCAAGGTCAGTCCAGTCACTTCAAGGATGCCATCCATCCATCTTGCCCTTGGTCGGCCCCTCTTCCTTTTGCCTTCCACTTTCCCCAGCATAATTGTCTTCTCTAGGCTTTCCTGTCTCCATGATGTGGCCAAAGTACTTCAACTTTGTCTCTAGTATCTTTCCCTCCAGTGAGCAGTCGGGCTTTATTTCCTGGAGGATGGACTGGTTGGATCTTCTCGCAGTCCAAGGCACTCTCAGCACTTTCCTTCAACACCACAGCTCAAAAGCATCGATCTTCCTTCGCTCAGCCTTCCCTAAGGTCCAGCTCTCACATCCGTAGGTTACTACAGGGAATACCATGGCTTTGACTAGGCGGATCTTTGTTGCCAGTCTGATGTCTCTACTCTTCACTATTTTATCGAGACTGGACATTGCTCTCCTCCCAAGAAGTAAGCGTCTTCTGATTTCCTGGCTACAGTCTGCATCTGCAGTACTCTTTGCACCTAGAAATACAAAGTCTGTCACGGCCTCCACGGTTTCTCCCTCTATTTTCCAGTTGTCAATCATTCTTGTTGCCATAATCTTGGTTTTTTTGACGTTTAGCTGCAACCGGCTTTTGCGCTTTCTTCTTTCACCTTGATTAGAAGGCTCCTCAGCTCCTCCTCGCTTTCGGCCATCAGAGTGGTGTCATCTGCATATCTGAGGTTGTTAATGTTTCTTCCAGCAATTTTCACCCCAGCTTTGCATTCATCAAGCCCCGACATCCTCGCATGATGTGTTCTGCATACAAGTTAAAAAGGTTGGGTGAGAGTATGCAGCCTTGCCGTACGCCTTTCCCAATCTTGAACCAGTCTGTTGTTCCGTGGTCAGTTCTGACTGTTGCTACTTGGTCCTTGTACAGATTCCTCAGGAGAGAGACAAGGTGGCTTGGTATGCCCATCCCACCAAGAACTTGCCACAAGTTTATTATGATCCACACAGTCAAAGGCTTTAGAATAGTCAATGAAGCAGAAGTAGATGTTTTTCTGAAACTCCCTGCCTTTCTCCATTATCCAGCGGATATTGGCAATTTGGTCTCTCGTTCCTCTGCCTTTTCTAAACCCAGCTTGAACATCTGGCAACTCTCGCTCCATGTATTGCTGGAGTCTTCCTTGCAGGATCTTGAGCATTACCTTACTGGCATGAGAAATAAGGGCCACTGTACGAAGTTTGAGCAGTCTTTCGCATTTCCCTTTTTTGGTATGGGGATATAAGTTGATTTTGTCCAGTCTGATGGCCATTCTTGTGTTTTCCATATTTGCTGGCAAATGGCATGCATCACCTTGACAGCATCATCTTTTAAGATTTTAAACAGTTCAGCTGGGATCCCGTCGTCTCCTGCTGCCTTGTTGTTAGCAATGCTTAAGGCCCATTCAACCTCACTCCTCAGGATGTCTGGTTCTAATTCATTCACCACACCGTCAAAACTATCCTCAATATTATTATCCTTCCTATACAGATCTTCTGTATAGTCTCGCCACCTTCTCTTGATCTCTTCAGCTTCTGTTAGGTCCCTGCCATCTTTGTTTCTTATCATACCAATTTTTGCCTGAAATTTACCTCCAATGGTTCTAATTTTCTGGAAGAGGTCTCTTGTCCTTCCTATTCTGTTGTCTTCTTCCACTTCCATGCATTGCTTATTTAAAAATAGTTCCTTATCTCTTCTGGCTAACCTCTGGAATTGTGCATTTAACTGGGCATATCTCCCCTTATCACTGTTTCCTTTTGCTTTCCTCCTTTCTTGGGCTACTTCCAGTGTCTCAGCAGACAACCATTTTGCCTTCTTGGTTTTCTTTTTCTTTGGGACGTACTTTGTTGCCGCCTCCTGAACAATGTCGCGGACTTCTGTCCATAGTTCTTCTGGGACTCTGTTTACTAAATCTAGTCCTTCAAATCTGTTCTTCACTTCCACTGTATATTCGCTAGGAATGTTAGTGAGATCATATCTAACTGGTCTGTGTATTTTCCCTGATCTCTTTAGTTTTATTCTAAATTTGGCAATAAGAAGTTCGTGATCTGAGCTACAGTCAGCCCCAGGTCTTGTTTTCACCGACTGGATGGATGTCCGCCACCTTTGGCTGCAAAGGATGTAGTCAATCTGATTTCGGTGTTGACCATCTGGTGAGGTCCATGTATAAAGCCGTCTTTTAGGGTGTTGGAAGAGAGTATTCGTTATACACAGCGAGTTTTCCTGGCAAAATTCTATCAGCCTGCGTCCCGCTTCATTTTGTTCTCCCAGACCATGCTTGCCTGTGATCCCAGTTGTCATTTGACTTCCCACCTTGGCATTCCAGTCTCCTGTAATGAAAATAATGTCTCTTTTTGGTGTATTATCCAGTAGGTCCTGCAGATCCTCATAGAACTGATCTACTTCTGCTTCTTCAGCAGCTGTGGTTGGGGCGTATATTTGGATCACTGTAATGTTGAACGGCTTTCCTTGCACTCGAATTGAGATAATTCTGTCATTTTTTGGGTTGTATCCAAGCACCGCTTTAGCGAATTTCTTATTAATTATGAAGGCTACTCCATTTCTTCGATGTTCCTCTTGTCCGCAGTAGTAGATCTGGTGGTCATCTGATGTGAAGTGGCCCATTCCAGTCCATTTCAGTTCGCTGACCCCCAGAATGTCTATCTTTAGTCTTGACTATTATTATTACATTTATAATTTTACTTTAGTATTATTGCTATTACATTTAAATTTTTACTTTAGTATTATTGCTAATACATTTATTATTTTATCCTATTATTGGCATTATTACATTTGCATTATTTTACTTTTATTATTATTTTATTACATTTATTTTACTCTATTATTATTACATTTATTATTTTACTTTATTATTGTTATTACATTTATTAATTTACTTTATTATTATTGGAAGGATAGGTAAGCACATTGACACTGAAAAAGGTTACAATAATGGTTTAATCAAAGTTGGTCAGTCTTATTTTGAATTACAGTTTTATGTAAACATTGAAAAACATTTAACCTACTGTTTCCTCAATTAGGGCCAAGGTTGGAGCCATGGCCCTAAAATCAGCAATGGGGAGTCAGCAATCTGCACAAAGTGCTTTCCAAAGTACGATATTGACTCACGCGGCACCCTTTCTGCCTCGGCGGGGGCGTTGTTTGTGCCTCTCTCGAAGCGCAGCTGCACTTGCGCTCCGACCACATCCTGTGGAACATGAACAGAGAGCAGGGGAGATGTGGGGAGCAAAGCGTGGTAGGGCTCCTCCGTGGGGCTACCGTTCGGCCTCCCTCTGCAGCTGCGTGCGCTTCCTCTCCTTACATTCAGGACATTCAAATGCTCTAATACAGGCCTGGGCCAACTTTGGCCCTCCACGTGTTTTGGACTCCAACTCCCATCATTCCCAACAGCCTCAGGCCCTTTCCTTTCCCCCCTCAGCTGCTTAAGCTTTCCTCAGTGTGAGGAAAGCCTCAGTGTTAGTAGACCTCAGTGTGAGGCAGGCCTCAGTGAGAGAAGTTTTGGTGAGAGAAGCCCCAAAAGAAAGGAAGAAGAAAGCAAGGAAAGAATGACTTCCTCTCGTCTTATTCGGCAGTACTGCGTCATTATCGGTGCCTCGTTTGCTAACATTAAGATAACAATTTAGGTAGAGAAGCAGATGGCGGAAACAGAAGAGCTGCCCGCTTCAGGGGAGCGTGCTTGCCCCATCCATGTTCAACATCTACACAAATGACCAGCCACTGCCAGAAGGGACAGAGAGCTTCATCTATGCTGACGATCGTGCCATTACTGCTCAAGCAGGGAGCTTTGAGATGGTAGAACAGAAGCTCTCTGAAGCTCTAGGTGCTCTAACTGTCTATTACAGGGAAAACCAGCTGACTCCTAATCCATCTAAAACACAGACATGTGCCTTTCACCTTAAGAACAGACAAGCATCCCGAGCTCTGAGAATTACCTGGGAAGGAAGGAATCCCACTGGAGCATTGCAGCACACCCAAATACCTGGGAGTCACTCTGGACCGTGCTCTGACCTACAAGAAGCACTGCCTGAACATCAAGCAAAAGCTGACTGGCACAACCTGGGGATCACAACCAGACACAGTGAAGACATCTGCCCTTGCGCTATGCTACTCTGCTGCAGAGTATGCATGCCCAGGGCCCCCATCCCGCAGTCAACAAATTTTGAATGCGTCCACTTGAGAGTGGGTGACCGGGACAGAATAGGGATTCTGTTAGTGTACCGTCCACCTCGCTGCACTACAGTCTCCTTACCTGAGCTAGCGGGGGTGGTCTCGAGCCTGGCATTGGAGTCTCAGCGGCTCCTTGTGCTGGGGGACTTCAATGTCCATGCCGAGGCAGCCCTTTCAGGAGCAGCTCAGGACTTCATGTCTGCCATGGCAACCATGGGGCTGTCCCAACAAGTATCTGGCCCCACTCGCAGTGCAGGACATACATTGGACTTGGTTTTATGCCAGGGATGGGAGGAAGGTGGCGGTGTCGAGGAGTTGACCATCTCTCCGTTGCCATGGACTGACCACTTCCTGGTCAGATTTAGGCTCACTGTACCCCCTAACCTCTGCAGAGGTGGAGGACCCATTAAGTTGGTACGCCCCAGGAGGCTTATGGATCCGGATGGATTCCTGATGACTCTTGGGGAGTTTCCCGCCGCCTCGGTAGGTGACCCTGTCGAGGCCCTGGTCGTTCTCTGGAATGGGGAGATGACTAGGTCAATTGACACAATCGCTCTGGAACGTCCCCTCTCAAGTAGCCGAGCTAAATCAGCACCCTGGTTCACCGAGCAGCTGGCAGCAATGAAGCGAAGGAAGAGGGAACTAGAGAGTGTGTGGCGTTTGGATCCGAGCGAGCCAAATCGAACATGGTTTGTGTCCTTTTTAATGAGAGACTACCCCCTGGACACACAGAAGACAGGGCAACTTGGAAGGCGTTGAACAGACTGCACTCGGGCACCACGAGATGCAGAGCCAACCTTCAGAAATGGGGCTACAAAGTGGAGTCCACGACATGCGAGTGCAGAGAGGAGCAAACCACTGACCACCTGCTGCAATGCAACCTGAGCCCTGCCACATGCACCAGGGAGGACCTTCTTGCGGCAACACCAGAGGCACTCCAAGGGGCCAAATACTGGTCAAAGGACATTTAATCAACTACCAAGCTTGCAAACTTTGTGTTTTGTCTGTTTGTTAAAAATTTGTTCAAAATGTAATACAATGGTCTGGTTGCTACTGACGCGATAAATAAATACATAAATAAGTAGGCCTCAGGATGAGGTAGGCCTTAGTGAGAGACGTTTTGGTGAGAGAAGCCCCAGGTTACACTAAAAAGAAAGGAAGAAGAAAGCAAGGAAAGAATGACTTCCTCTCGTCTTATTTGGCAGTACTGCGTCATTATCGGTGCCTCGTTTGCTAACATTAAGACAACATTTTGGCTACAATCAATTCTTTTTATTATGACGCTTTGCAAGCAACATTAAAGAGAAACATATATATTGTGTATATTTGGAGGGTGTTCGGAGTCCCAGCGACTGGAGTGGAGATGTGGGGTCTGTCGCCAAGGAGGGCACAAGGCCAGTGTGACCAAGGAGGCCTGTGGGTCGCAACACTTGCCTCCCGGGAGGGTCTCTTGACTGGTGTCCATTGCTACTGTCCGATCTCTCTTTCTCTCTTTCTCTCAAAAGGCCCTGCCCCCCAGGCCGGCGTAGACCTCCCGCTGGCCTTTCCGGATGGGCTGCAGGAGCAAAGACAGAGGATGGTGTCAGAAATATTCAAAATTAACGAGGTATTTTTAAATACAAAAATGTGAGTCAAGCCCTAAAAGGTTAAATCATGGATGCAACAACTCCGCAAAAGCTGCAGTTCAGTATAAGCAGGTGTGTCTATAGCTTAGTAGCACTCAGTGTGAGAGAGGCCTCAGTGTGAGGGAGGCCTCAGTGTGAGAAAAGCCTTTCCAGATGGACTGGCCTTTCCGGATGGGCTGCGGGAGCAAAGATGGAGGATGGTGTCAGAAATATTCAAAATTAACGAGGTATTTTTAATTACAAAAATGTGAGTCAAGCCCTAAAAGGTTAAATGGATGCAACAACTCCGCAAAAGCTGCAGTTCAGTATAAGCAGGTGTGTCTGTAGCTTAGTAGCACTCAGTGTGAGAGAGGCCTCAGTGTGAGGGAGGCCTCAGTGTGAGGGAAGCTTCAGTGTGAGGGAGGCTTCAGTGTGAGGGAGGCCTCAGTGTGAGAAAAGCCTTTCCAGATGGACTGCGAGAGCAGGTGTGTCTGTAGCTTAGTAGCACTCAGTGTGAGAGAGGCCTCGGTGTGAGGAAGGCCTTTCCAGATGGGCTGGCCTTTCCGGATGGGCTGCGAGAGCAAAGAGGGAAGATGGTGTCAGAAATATTCAAAATTAACTAGGTATTTTTAATTACAAAAATGTGAGTCAAGCTGGAAAGGGTTAAATGGATGCAATGACTCAGCAAAAGCTGCAGTTCAGTATAAGCAGGGGTGTCTGTAGCTTAGTAGCACTCAGTGTGAGAGAGGCCTCAGTGTGAGGGAGGCCTCAGTGTGAGGGAGGCCTCAGTGTCAGGAAGGCCTCAGTGTGAGGTAGGTCTCGGTGTTGGTAGGCCTCAGTGTGAGGTAGGACTCAGTGAGAGAAGGTTTGGTGAGAGAAGCCCCAGGTTAAAGCTCCTGTGTGAAGGTTTCTTTGTGTAAAGCTCCTATGTAATCGGTGTGAGAAGAAGCTCTGTGAGAGTGAAGCTGTTTATCTCCATGAGAAAGAAGCCTAGCGTGGAAGCAAAGAAGGAAGTATAAAGAACTTTATTTGTGTTAAGGAAATCTTGTTGTTTACAATTTGAGGACCCCTGATTTAGAGGCTTTAAGGGAAAAGCCAAGTTCTCATGAGAAAGTTTCTGTCAGACCGAGAGAAGAAGATTAACTCCTTTTTCCTTCTGGCCCGAGCTTGCAAGGTAACTTGACACCTGGTCGGGTCAATGATAACAACCGCAGTTTGGAGATAAGCCAGAACCACAGAGAGGCTCAATGTTTATGTAGGTCTGAGAGAATCCGACAAGTGAAACCAAAGATTAGAGTTAGCCGGAATCAGTTTTTGGGATTTAAGAGTGGCCGTGAGGGGGATTTCCTCAGACCAAGCATCATTTAGTATCAAGTACAAACCTCCTGGGATTTCCAGTTTCCAGTGGTCTGGTCTCTAAGAGAATTCCTAGCTATTCAAGTGAGATTAGCAGGGGCTAATCTGTTCATGGACTTCTGTTGAGAGGTTTCTGGACATTACTGCTTTGGAATTTCTGCAAACTTTCTGGACATTGCTGTTTGCTGTTTCATTTTGGCTTTTTTTTACCTTTGGACTTCAGTCTACTTTATATTCATCATTCTAGAAAAAGGATTGTATTTTTCCTAAACCAAGGTGTCTGTAGCTTAGTAGCACTCAGTGTGAGAGAGGCCTCAGTGTGAGGAAGGCCTTTCCAGGTGGGCTGGCCTTTCCGGATGTGTTAATGGCAGGAGGGCCATGTCTCCTGCTCTGGGGTGCAACACCCCCTTGCTCCTGGGTGTCCCTCTCTTAGCAGGGGCCTCAGCCCTCGGTGGCCCCCTCCTGCCCTCCCCTCCCTGTACAAGTCAATCGGATCTTACCTCATAGTCTGGGTTTGGGACGGGTGGGGGGTGGTCCGCTTTTGGTCCTGGAACGGAAATCAAACTGAGTTGGGGGAAGTGGGGCAGTCACTTCCCAGCCCCAATTCTTGAGGAGCCCTCCCTCTAATTGGGCAAAAGGCTTCCTCCTCCTCCCTGTGTGGGCCCCATAACCCTCCTTGCCCACCCCACAGGTGTTGTGTATTCCTCTTCTGAGGATGATGATGAGGAGGAGGAGGTAGAACTGGAGGGTGAAGGTGTAGGAGCTGGGGATTTGGGACCAAGTTTCAAGGAGGAAGCAGAGGGTGAAGAAAACATACTGCCAGTTCCTACAAGGGTGGAAGATGGAAGCACACTCTTCTCTGTCTCCCCTCCCCTCTAGAGACCTGGAGATGGAAGGAGAAGTGGCCACTCACCTGAAGGCTTCCCCTGGGTGTCTCCTCCCCGGAAGCGGGCCTTGCGGTCCTTGCAGCAAAAGTAGACCAGGCAGAGGACCCCCAGGGTCAGGAGGAGGTCCGAGATGATGATTCCAGCCAGGAGTCCGAGGCCCAGCTCCACGCAGTCCTCGCAAACTGCAAGAAGGGTCACTCAGTAGGACAACCTGTGGCCCCGCTCTCCCCCTCCCCACCACCACACACTGTTCCCCAAGATGCCCCTAGAATCATAGAATCAAAGAATCCAAGAGTTGGAAGAGACCTCCTGGGCCATCATCCAGTCCAACCCTATTCTGTCAAGAAGCAGGAATGTTGCATTCAAATCACCCCTGACAGATGGCCATCCAGCCTCTGTTTAAAAACCTCCAAAGAAGGAGCCTCCACCACACTCCGAGGCAGAGAGTTCCACTGCTGAATGGCTCTCACAGTCAGGAAGTTCTTCCTCATGTTCAGATGGAATCTCCTCTCTTGTAGTTTGAAGCCATTGTTCCGCGTCCTAGTCTCCAAGGAAGCAGAAGACAAGCTTGCTCCCTCCTCCCTGTGGCTTCCTCTCACATATTTATACATGGCTATCATGTCTCCTCTCATCCTTCTCTTCTTCAGGCTAAACATGCCCAGCTCCTTAAGCCGCTCCTCATAGGGCTTGTTCTCCAGACCCGTGATCATTTGAGTCACCCTCCTCTGGACACATTCCAGCTTAGAGTCAATATCTCTCTTGAATTGTGGTGCCCTCCAGGACTTACCTTTGGCCTGCAGGAAGATCTTGCTGCTTTCGCAAGTGAACCATTCCCCACGCTCAAGTCTCCTCAGGTCACTCTCTTCCGTGAGGGTCAAGGGGTTGGAAGGCTCCTGATTCCTATACTGGAAGGTCGCTCCTTCTTTGGGGCAGGTGAGGGTCACGGTGTCCTTCCAGACATCTACTCTGATCTCTGAAGAGAAGCAGGGGGAAGCAGAGGGGGAAGAGGAAGAAGGGGAAAATTCAATTCTGTCTAAATGAGACATGGTCAAACTTGGGCCCTCCCTCCAGATGTTTTGGACTCCAACTCCCATCATTTCTAATCTCCCCAGCCCCCCCCCCCAGCCGCTTAAGCTTAACAGAAAAGAGTTAGTAGTCCAAAGCCTGTTAGAGTCAGTGGGCAACAGCTAGTGCCATCCTGAGTAGTGTGAGGTAAACCTCAGTGTGAGAGAAGACTTGTGTGAGAAAGCTCCAGTGTGAAGGCTGCTGTGTGCCCATGCTTGGTCTTGAAATCCATCAATAAACACAAGGCTGCCCTATGTGCTTGCAAATTAGAGTCAGTGGGCAAAAGCTAGTGTCATCCTGGAAAGTGAGAGATAAACCTCCGTGTGAGAGAAGACTTGTGTGAGAAAGCTCCAGTGTGAAGGCTGCTGTGTGCCCATGCTTGGTCTTGAAATCCATCAAGAAACACAAGGCTGCCCCATGTGTTTGCAAATTAGAGTCAGTGGGCAACAGCTAGTGTCATCCTGGAAAGTGAGAAGTAAACCTCAGTGTGAGAGAAGACTTGTGTGAGAAAGCTCCAGTGTGAAGGCTGCTATGTGCCTATGCTTGGTCTTGACATCTATCAATAAACACAAGGCTAGCCCATATGTTTGGAAATTAGAGTCAGTGGGCAACAGCTAGTGTCATCCTGGAAAGTGAGAGGCAAACCTCAGTGTGAGAGAAGACTTCTGTAAGAAAGCTCCAGTGTGAAGGCTGCTGTGTGAGTATGCTTGGTCTTGAAATCCATCAGTAAACACAAGGCTGCCCCGTGTGTTTGCAAATTAGAGTCAGTGGGCAACAGCAAGTGTCTACTGGAAAGTGAGAGGTAAACCTCAGTGTGAGAGAAGACTTCTGTAAGAAAGCTCCAGTGTGAAGGCTGCTGTGTGAGTATGCTTGGTCTTGAAATCCATCAATAAACACAAGGCTGCCCCGTGTGTTTGCAAATTAGAGTCAGTGGGCAACAGCTAGTGTCTACTGGAAAGTGAGAGGTAAACCTCAGTGTGAGAGAAGACTTGTGTGAGAAAGCTCCAGTGAAAGCTGTGAAAGCTGCTGTGTGCCTATGCTTGGTCTTGAAATCCATCAATAAATACAAGGCTGCCCCATGTATTTGCAAATTAGAGTCAGTGGGCAACAGCTAGTGTCATCCCGGAAAGTGAGAGGCAAACCTCAGTGTGAGAGAAGACTCATGTGAGAAAGCTCCAGTGTGAAGGCTGCTGTGTGCCTATGCTTGGTCTTGAAATCCATCAATAAACACAAGGCTGCCCCATATGTTTGCAAATTAGAGTCAGTGAGCAACAGCTAGTGTCATTCTGGAAAGTGAGAGATAAACCTCAGTGTGGGAGAAGACTTGTGTGAGAAAGCTCCAGTGTGAAGGTTGCTGTGTGCCTATGCTTGGTCTTGAAAACTATCAATAAACACAAGGCTGCCCCATGTGTTTGCAAATTAGAGCTGTGGACAACTGCTAGTGTCATCCTGCAAAGTGAGAGGTAAACCTCAGTGTGAGAGAAGACTTGTGTGAGAAAACTCTAGTGTGAAGGTTGCTGTGTGCCTATGCTTGATCAATAAACACAAGGCTGATCCATGTGTTTGCAAACTTTGTGTGTGAAGAGGGCAAGGGGTCACTGGCCTTCCATTGGTCCCCACAACTCAGCCCCACTTTTGCACTGGAAGGGCATCTCCTCCCATAAGCCAAGCAGACTGGTCCCAGGACAGAGAAGACTGTGGTGCTTCTTTGCAAAGTAATCAATGAAGGGAGTAGACCATGGATACAGCTCTATGCTGAGACAGATTTGGAAGCATCCCAGTGCTGGAGGAAACCCACCCCAGTTGCCTTTCCCAGTCCACCCAGTGCCCCCTCTTCACAGAATATGGGCTCTTCAGTTCTCCCAGGATAAGGGCAAGAGGAAGAACCATTCCGAGAAAGCTGCCCAGATCCTTACCGTTGGTGACATCGCCACAAGCGGGGCCAGCTGCAAAGGAAACAGAAAACATCAGTGAGGAGGACGTAGGCATCGCCTGGCAATGGGTCCCGGGCAGAGAACGGATCTGGCTTCCTCTCGGGGCATTTGGGTCACTGGGAACCTTTGTGAACCTGACACACAAAGAGGGGAGTGGAGAGCAGGCACATGCACAACACATGGCAGCGTGTTGTGCATGTGCACCCAAGGGAGAGCATGTGAGGCTGCCAGTGAGTGCCTTCAAGGCATGGGGTCTCTGTGTGAGATGTTTGGGCCAATTCTATCATTGGTGGGGTTGAGGATGCTCTTTGCTTGTAAATGAACTATAAATCCCAGCAACTACAATTCCCAAATGACAATGTCTATTTCCCCCAAACTCCACCACTGTTCACATTTGGGCATATTGAGTATATGTACCAAGTTTGGTCCAGATCTATCATTATTTGAATCCACTGTGCTCTCCGGCTGTAGGTGAACTACAAATCCAAAACTCAAGGTCAATGCCCACCAAACTCTTCTAGTATTTTCTGTGGGTCATTGGAGTTCTGTGTGTCAAGTTTGGTTTAATTTCATCGTTGGTGGAGTTCAGAGTGCTCTTTGATTGTAGCTGAACTATAAATCCCAGCAACTACAACTCCCAAATGTCAAGATCTATTTTCCCCAAACTCCACCAGTGTTCACATTTGGGCATATTGAGTATTCGTGCCAAATTTGGTCCAGATCTATCATTGTTTGAATCCACTGTGTTCTCCAGCTGTAGGTGAACTACAAATCCAAAACTCAAGGTCAATGCCCACCAAACCCTTCCAGTATTTTCTGTTGGTCATGGGAGTTCTGGGCACCAAGTTGGGTTCAATTCCATCGTTGGTGGAGTTCAGAATGTTCTCTGATTGTAGGTGAACTACAAATCCCAGCAACCACAACTCCCAAATCACAAAATCAATATCCCATTTTAGTAGACATGTATTTTAATTTTTGAGGTGTTGCAAACTGCATCTCAACATCAAGTAGAACTATAGGTAGGTGAAAGTTTTCCCCTGACGTTAAGACCAGTCGTGTCCAACTTCTGGGAATCGATCCTAATTTCTAAGCCGAAGAGCCAGCGTTGTCCGTAGACACCTCCAAGGTCGTGTGGCCACTAGCATAACCGTATGGAGCGCCGTTACCTTCCCACCAGAGCAGTACCCATTGATCTACTCACATTTGCATGTTTTCGAACTGCTAGGTTGGCAGAAGCTGGGGCTGACAGCGGGAGCTCACCCTGCTCTCTGGATAGCTCAGCGGTTTAACCCACCGCACCACTGGGAGCTCCAATAACAATGATAGGTTAGGTAGAGGTTTCCCCCTAACACGTCTGACTCTGGGTGTTGGTGCTCATCTCCATTTCTAAGCTGAAGAGCCGGCGTTGTCCGTAGACACCTCCAAGGTCATGTGGCCAGCATGACTGCATGGAGCGCTGTTCCCTTCCCACCAAGACGGTACCTATTGATCTACTCACATGATAATAAAGGGAAAGGTTTCCCCTTGACATTAAGTCTAGTCGGGTCCAACTTTGGAAGGTGGTGCTTATCTCATTTTCTAAGCCGAAAATGCCAGCGTTGTCTGTAGACACCTCCAAGGTCATGTGGCCATCATGACTGCATGGAGCGCCGTTCCCTTCCCGCCAAGACAGTACCTATTGATCTACTCACATGATAATAAAGGGAAAGGGTTCCCCTTGACATTAAGTTTAGTTGTGTCCAACTTTGGGAGGTGGTGCTTATCTCAATTTCTAAGTTGAAGAGCCAGCGTTGTCCGTAGACACCTCCAAGGTCATGTGGCCAGCATGACTGAACGGAGTGATGCATGGAACTATGAAACCCTAGAAATAGGTACCTTGAGATCCAAAGATTAGATGGCAAGGCACAGTTTGCGTTATTTCATCTCATCACAGAGTCATGGATTCACAGATTTGGAAGAGACCACATAGGTCATGTAGTCCAACCCCTATCCAATCCATGCTGTGCTCAAAGGACCCTCATGCCAAGGGGAAGGCGGGCTCAGAGCCGCAATGGCCCTTTCTATAATTACCTTGTTTGGAGTGAGGATCTTGGGGGCACCTCCTTGCCCTTCTGGAAAGGGGTCAACACTTCTGTCCTCCCCCCTAGGACCCCCTCTGCATTGGGGTGCCAACCCCAGCCCCCCCCCCCCTACACACACACATTGACTCCCATGGGATGCTCACAGAGTGCGGCGAGAAGGGCCAGCCAGGCTCCGAAAAGGACCCCACGGCGACGCATCTCCCCGCCGGGCCCTTTTTCCGTGGGGTGAAGGGGCCCAAGGGCAGAGCCTGTTGTTGGCGATGCGCTCTCTTCTCTCTCTCTTCTCTCTCTCTTCTGCAAGAGCGACAGCCCTGCCAGGAAGTGCAGAAGGAGGGGGCGAAGAGGAGGAGGAGGAAGAGGTAAACAATTGTGTCACCTTCCAACAAGTGGCCCTGATCTCCGCTCTTGAAATGCATACTTTGGAAACAAATGTGTTGACGTTCACCCCATGCTCTTCAAAGGATGGCCTTGCAGCTTCATAGCCTGGCTGCTTCCTGCCTGTGGGAATTTGTGTCACCTTCCAACAAGTGGTCCTGATCTCAGCTCTTGAAATGCATACTTTGGGAACAAACACATTGATATTCACCCCATGCTATTCAAAGGATGCCTCCAACTTGACAAATTGATGGACAGCTTGGGCCAACTTGCCCCCCCTCCCCCCCAGGTGTTGTGGACATCAACTCTCACCATTGCTAACAGCCTCAGGTCATTGTCGAAGGCTTTCATGGTCAGAATCACTGGGTTGCCTTGAGTTTTCTGGGGTTTGCCCGGCAAGGTTCCAGAAGCATTCTCTCCTGACGTTTCGCCCACATCTATGGCTAAAGCCATCATCAGAGGTTGAGGAGTCTGTTGGAAACTAAGTAAGTGAGGTTTATACATCTGTGGAATAATGTCCAGGGTGGGAGAAAGAACTCTTGTCTGTTGGAGGCAACTGTGAATGTTGCAATGAGCAAGCTCGAATAGCATTGAGTAAGCTTGAAGCTGCAAAGTCAATCAGTGAGGGGATCTGCTTAGATGTCTGTTGGAAACGAGGCAAGTGGGGTTTGTATATCTGTGGAATGATGTCCAGGGTGGGAGAAAGAACTCTTGTCTGCTGGAGGTAAGTGAGAATGTTTCAATTAGTCAGGAAACAGCCAGGCTTTGAAGCTGCAAGGGCATTCAATGCTAATCAAGGTGGCCAATTGCAACATTCATATGTAGCTCAAGCAGACAACAGTTCTTTCTCCCACCCTGAACATCATTCCACAGGTGTGTAAACCTCACTTAATTATGTTCAATGTATTGTCGGACAGACCCCTCAACCTCTGAGGATGCCTGCCATAGATGTGGGAGAAACGTCAGGAGAGAATGCTTCCGTAGGTGCTGGAGGGGAGGGGACTCCCAACTGATGACACTTTCTTTCTCCCACCTTGGGCATCCTTCTACAGGTAGACAAACCCCACTTGCCTCGTTTCCAACAGACCCCACAACCTCTGAGGATGCCTGCCATAGATGTGGGAGAAATGTCAGGAGAGAATGCTTCCGTAACAGGGCCAGGCAGCCCTGAAAACTCACAGCAACCCAGAGACATAAGTGTGGACCTAACTGGAGTGTTTTTAAATTCTGGAAGGGTGGGAGTTAAAGTTCAAAACACCTGGAGGGAGGGCTGAAGTTGGCCCATACCTGAACTACAGTGTCACAGGAGGGAATCCTAGCTATGGAGGAGGCAGCCAGAACCTGAGCCAGGTGTAGTTTTGGTGGGGGGAGAGGGAGAGAAGAACATGAGCAAGAACTTCCTGACTGTGAGAGCCGTTCAGCAGTGGAACTCTCTGCCCCAGAGTGTGGTGGAGACTCCTTCTTTGGAGGCTTTTAAACAGAGGCTGGATGGCCATCTGCCAGGGGTGATTTGAATGCAATATTCCTGCTTCTTGGCAGAATGGGGTTGGACTGGATGATGGCCCAGGAGGTCTCTCCCAACTCTAGGATTCTACGATTCTATGAGAGCTGTTCAGCAGTGGAACTCTCTGCCCTGGAGTGTGGTGGAGGCTCCTTTTGTGGAAGCTTTTAAGCAGAGGCTGGATGGCCATCTGTCAGGGGTGCTTTGAATGCAATATTCCTGCTTCTTGGCAGAATGAGGTTGGACTGGATGATGGCCCAGGAGGTCTCTCCCAACTCTTTGATTCTATGAGAGAGAGAGACTCGGGGCATGTGCAGAGTGCTTGAGAAACTAAGGAAGACTCTTTCCTGGACTTCCTGGTTTGAGTGCTGGGAGGGGAGGGGCGGAAGAGGAGGAGGAGGAGGAAGGGAAAGGCAGGCAAGGCTCAGGTTTCACCTGGTCGGACCCGGAGGGGCTGCTCTTCCCGGCCTCCGCCATGGGCTGCTCACCTGGACTCACCTGGAGAGGCTGCCTGGTCCTCGTCCTGCTCCTGGGTAAGGCTCCCCAAGAGGTTCCCCAAGAGACCCCACCGCTTGGCTGGCAAAAAGAGGGAGGGAAGGAAGGAAGGAAGGAAGGGAAGGAGGAAAGAAGGAAGGAGGAAGGAGGAAGGAAGGGGGGCAGCTCTGCTGCTGTAGGCCTCCTCCCAGGTACGGCCAGGTAAAGGAGGCGGAAGATCCCGTGACTCTGCCTTCTCTCCCTCGGCTCCAGCCCTTCCAAGAGGAGCCTTTGCCTGGGGGTTTTCTGTGTAGTGGGGGATCCCTGGTTGCTGTGAGTTTTCAGGGCTGCCTGGCCCTGTTACGGAAGCATTCTCTCCTGACGTTTCTCCCACATCTATGGCTAAAGGCATCCTCAGAGGTTGAGGGGTCTGTTGGAAACGAGGCAAGTGGGGTTTGTATACCTGTGGAAGGATGCCCAGGGTGGGAGAAAGAAAGTGTCATCAGTTGGGAATCCCCTCCCCTCCAGCACCTACGGAAGCATTCTCTCCTGACGTTTCTCCCACATCTATGGCTAAAGGCATCCTCAGAGGTTGAGGGGTCTGTTGGAAACGAGGCAAGTGGGGTTTATATATCTGTGGAAGGATGTCCAGTCTCCCCTTCCCTTCTCCTGCTTCACTTCAAGTCGGAGGCTGGGATGGATGGCCTCAGGGTGCCCCCAACTGACGTCAGAGCAGGGAATCCCCCTCTGGGAAGCCCCCTCCTCTGCTTATTCTCTTCCTTCCAGCCACAATGGGCACAAGGCATAATAATAATAATAATAATAATAATAATTTCAAAAAAAGAAAACACTGTATAATATAACAATTAATAATAAAACAAACTAATAAAATAATATATAATATAACAATAATAATAATAACCTAATAATACCTCTAATATCCTCGGTCCTTGGGAAGACGAATCCCAGACATTTGGTCCTAATGAGTTTGTGTTCTATGTTATGTCCATCTAATCTATAATAATAATAATAATAATAATAATAATAATAATAATAATAATAATAATAATAATAAATTATATTATAATATATAACAACGAATAATAATATATAATATAATGGTAATATATAATAATAATAATAATAATAATAATAATAATAATAATGTAATAATAATAATAATAATAATAATAATAATAACCTAATAATACCTCTAATATCCTCGGCCCTTGAAAAGAGCCTAATATTCAGAGAGGAATCCCAGACATTTGGTCCTAATGAGTTTGTGTTCTATGTTATGTCCATCTAATCTATAATAATAATAATAATAATAATATTATAATAATATATAATAATTAATAATATATAATACAATGGTAATATATAATAATAATCTAATAATAATCTAATAATAATCTAATAATATTTTTAATATCCTCGGCCCTTGGGAAGAGCCTAATATTCAGAGGCGAATCCCAGACATTTAGTCCTAATGAGCCTGTGTTCTATGTTATGTCCCTTTAATCTATAATAATAATAATAATATATAATAATAATAATAATTATATATAATAATATATAATAGTAATATATAATAATAATATATTATTATTATTGTTATTATTAATAATATATAATATAATGGACTGACCTTGAGGGAGCTGGGGGTGGTAACGGCCGACAGGGAGCTCTGGCGTAGGCTGGTCCATGAGGTCACGAAGAGTCGGAGACGACTGAACGAATGAACAACAACAACATAATGGTAATATATAATAACAGTGCTCCATGCACTCATGCTGGCCACATGACCTTGGAGATGTCATAGAATGATAGAGTTGGAAGAGACCTGGTGGGCCATCATCCAGCCCAACCCCATTCGGCCAAGAAGCAGGAATATTGCATTCAAAGCACCCCTGACAGATGGCCATCCAGCCTCTGTTTCAAAGCTTCCATAGAAGGAGCCTCTGCCACACTCCGGGGCAGAGAGTTCCACTGCTGAACGGCTCTCACAGTCAGGAAGTTCTTCCTCTTGTTCAGGTGGAATCTCCTCTCTTGTAGTTTGAAGACATTGTTCCCTTGCGTCCTAGTCTGCAAGGAAGTGGAAAGGAAGCTTGCTCCCTCCTCCTCCCTGTGGCTTCCTCTCACATATTTATACATGGCTCTCATCATGTCTCCTCTCAGCCTTCTCTTCTTCAGGCTAAACATGCTCAGCTCTTTAAGCCACTCCTCATAGGGCTACGGACAACGATGCCTCTTCGGCTTAGAAATGGATATGAGCACCAGCCACCAGAGTCTGACACAACTGGACTTAATGTCAGGGGAAAACCTTGACCTTTACCCTAATAATAATAATAATAATAATAATAATAATAATAATAATAATAATCTAACAATAACAATAATCTAATAATACCGCTAATATCCTCGGTCCTTGGGAAGAGCCTAATATTCAGAGGCGAATCCAAAACATATGGTCCTAACGAGACAGATAAATAATATTTATGTATTGTTGTATTGATGCTTACTGTTTAATTAATTTGTTAGGTTATTGCTTTTAAATGCCCAATGATTTTGTACTGTGTGTATACTGAAACTGTTGCTGTTAACCGCTCTGAGTTGCCTAAGGGCTGAGAAGAGCAGTATACAAATGAAGTAAATAATAAACAAATAATACCACTCCTCCATCTCTCCAACTCAGGAATTTATCCCTTTCTGTCCAGCAAATACTCAAGGGAATATATGGCCATTTTCTAGAGGCATGTTCTAGAATGCCTCTAGAACAGTGGTTCTCAACCACCCTAATTCTGTGACCCCTTAATATAGTTCCTAATGTTGTGGTAACCCCCCTCAACCATAATATTATTTTTGTTGCTACTTCATAACTGTAATTTTGCTCCTGTTATGAATCATCACGTAAATATCTGATATACAGGATGTATTTTCATTCACTGGACCAAATTTGGCACAAATACCCGATACGCCCACATTTGAATACTAGAGGGGTTTGTGGGGAGGGGATGTGGGTGAGTGGGTGGATTTTGTCATTTGGGAGTTGTAGTTGCTGGGATTTATAGTTCACCTACAATCAAAGAGCATTCTGAACTCCACCAACGATGGAATTGAACCAAACTTGGCACACAGAACTCCCATGACCAACAGAAAATACTGGAATGGTTTGGTGGGCATTGACCTTGAGTTTGGGAGTTGTAGTTCACCTACGTCCAGAGAGCAATGTGGACTCAAACATTGATGAATCTGGACCAAACTTGTCACGAATACTCAATATGCCCAAATGTCAACACTGGTGGGGTTTGGGGGAAATAGGCCTTGACATTTGGGAGTTGTAGTTGCTGGGCTTTATAATTCATCTACAATCAAAGAGCCTTCTGAATGAGAGAATTGGGCCAAACTTCCCCCACAGAACAGAAAATACTGTGATTTCTGATGGTCTCTGGTGACCCCTCTGACACCCCCTTGCGACCCCCCCAGGGGTTCCGACCCCAAGGTTGAGAAACGCTGCTCTAGAACATGGCCATATAGCCCGAAAAACCTACAACAGCCCAGTGATTCCGGCCATGAAAGCCTTTGACAATACTCAGGGAATCGCTCATTCTGGGACAATCTCAGATAAGTTTGGCTCAGATATTTCCTTTTCCGCTTGGCCAATACTCCGGGAATAGATCATTCAGGGAAAATCCTATCAAAGGCAACCTGAAAGCCTGTCAGTCCCAGCCCTTTCCCCACAGGGGACAGGAAATCCCATCACTTGAGGATTATTCAACCCAGCCCCCCCCCCCCCCCCCACCTTAGTCATCAATCATCCCCATCGGCTGACACCTCTTGCCAAACTTCCTTGCTCCCATTCTTTTGGCCTGTTTTGCAACCTCTTCACCCGGATGTCGGAGTTCATGGCCTCTCCCTCCTGGGACTCCCCATGCGTCACTGCACAGAGGGGGGGGGGAGCCGGACCCCAGGGCTTCCTGCCCAGTCTAGGAGGGGAAAGGGACTGGATTAACTGGTGAGGGGCTCCTTCACCGCTCTGGACAAGGAACCCCCTCATCATTTATTTGAAAGCCCCTCCCTACATTAAAGCTAGCCCTTCCCTGTTCCTCTCCCCCATTCTGGACTGTGTGGACACACAATGGACCAAACCAGTCCTGGGGGGCAGTCTGGCCAAGGGTGCCAAACCCAGGGAGATGCCTATTGTTGTTGTTGTTATTATTTACATTATATAACATGATTTCTGTCCTGTGTTTGTTTGTGTGTATGTGTGTGTGTGAGTATATATATATATACACATAATTACTTACTTAGGTGATCCCTTGTAGCTCAAGGATGATTGTCTTCCAGATGTGGTGTCTTGGATGATGGGTCTGTAGGTGGCTGCGGAGACCTATTCTTGACCCACATGTTCTCCTGCAGTGAGGACATTGGTTTCCAAAACAAAAGGTGGTCCCAGTCAAGGTTGGCTTGACACGGCTTCTTCCTCTTGGCACGTTTCCACCTTTCGCCCTCCATTCGTGCCTCTTTGAATTCTGCAGCACTGCTGGTCACAGCTGACCTCCAGTTAGAGCACTCAAGAGTCAGGGCTTCCCAGTTCTCAGTGTCTCTGCCACGGTTTTTTGAGGTTGACTTTGAGCCCATCTTTCACCCTCCATTCGTGCCTCTTCGAATTCTGCAGCACTGCTGGTCACAGCTGACCTCCAGTTAGAGTGCTCAAGAGTCAGGGCTTCCCAGTTCTCAGTGTCTCTGCCACAGTTTTTGAGGTTGGCTTTGAGCCCATCTTTCAATCTCTTTTCCTGACCTCCCACATTCCATTTTCTGTTCTTGAGTCTGGAGTAGAGCAACTGCTTCGGGAGATGGTGGTGGGGCATTCGGACAATGTGGCTGGCCCAGCAGAGTTGATGGCGGAGGACCATCGCTTAGATGCTGGTGGTCTTGGCTTCTTCCAGCATGCTGACGTTTGTCCGCTTGTCTTCCCAAGAGATTTGCAGGGTTTTCCAGAGGCAGCGCTGATGGAATCATTCCGGGAGTTGCATGTGACGTCTGTAGACAGTCCACGTCTCTCAGGTGTAGAGCAGGGTTTGGAGGACAATAGCTTTATAAACAAGCCCCTTGGTCTCCCTGCGGATGTCCCGCTCCTCAAACACTCTCTGCTTCATTTGGAAAAATTGCACACTTGCAGAGCTCAGGCGGTGTTGTATTTCAGTCTTACTGTTGATATCTGTAGACAGTCCATGTTTCACAGGCGTATAGCAGGGTCGGGAGTACAGTAGCTTTATAAACAAGCCCCTTGGTATCCCTACGGATGTCCCGGTCCTCAAACACTCTCTACTTCATTCATAAAAAATGCTGCACTCACAGAGCTCAGGTGGTGTTGAATTTCAGTGTCAATGTTGATGTCTGTAGACAGTCCACGTCTCGCAGGCGTATAGCAGGGTTGGGAGGACAATAGCTTTATAAACAAGCCCCTTGGTCTCCCTACGGATGTCCCGGTCCTCAAACACTCTCTGCTTCATTTGGAAAAATCCTGCACTCGCAGAGTTCAGGCGGTTTTGTATTTCAGTCTCAATTTTGACTTTTGTGGAGAGGTGGCTGCCAAAGGAGCAGAAAGGGTCAACATTTTCTAATGTTACACCATTAAGCTGTATTTCTGGCATTGGAGAGAGGTTGGCCAGTGACTCCACAAGAAGAAATGGTATTTTGGAAGGAGAATGTAAATTGAAGTGTTTAAGGAGCTCCGTTGGCTGCCATTCATTTTCCGGTCCCAATTCAAGGTGCAGGTTCTTACCTACAAAGCCCTGAATGGTTTGGGACCTGCCTACCTGCGTGACCACATCTCTGTGTACGAATCCACACAATCTCTTCATTCATCTGGAGCGGCCCTACTTACGATCCCACCTCCATTGCAGGCGCGATTGGTGGGGACGAGGGAGAGGGCCTTCTCGGTGGTGGCCCCTCGACTCTGGAACTCACTTCCCAAGGACATCAGGCATGCCCCAACTCTGGCAGTCTTTAGGAGGAGCCTGAAAACGTGGTTGTTCCAGTATGCCTTCTCAGAATAATGAACTCTCGGCATTGTGCCCTCTAAATGCACTTTACACTGATTTAGGATTGTTTGTACGCTCTCACCAACGCCCCTTCTCTCCTAACTTGTTCATGCCTAGCATTATTTTTTAACTGTAATTACATTTGGCCCAGCCATAGATTTTAAATGTGTGTTGCATTACTGTCATCGTATATTGCTTTTTTGTTTATGAGTTTTATTTCATTGTTTTATTGTTGTTATTATTGCTTGTATTGATGTATTGCGGGCTCGGCCTCATGTAAGCCGCACCGAGTCCCTTGGGGAGATGGTAGCAGGGTACAAATAAAGTATTATTATTATTATTATTATTATTATTATTGTTATTGTTGCAGGGTTGGGAGGAAAATGGCTTTATATACAAGCCCCTTGGTCTCCGTACAGATACACAATTCAAAACAAAACAAAAAGTAAATATTGGCGCATGAGTATAAACTTAAAATACAACGCAAAAAGAATAAATACAATTACATCCCCGTTCCTTTCCCAAAATCCCACCTACAATCTCCCCATCATCCTCCCTCCAAGAAATGCCTTGGGCCCTTCTGGTCTCTCTCTTTTGGAGGGCCCCTTCGTTGCCTGAAGCGTCTCCCTTGCTTTCTCCCAAGGGCTCCGGATGGCGGCATCCATGGAGATCTACACACCGGGCTCCGTGGAGGCGCTGAATGGGACCGACGTGCGGCTGAAGTGCACCTTCCGCAGCAAGGAACCTGTCGGGCAGCTGCTGGTCATCTTTTGGAACTTCCAATCCCGGGACAAGAGCCAAACGGAGTTTGTAAGTTGCCTTCTGCAGACTACTTTCACACCTAGCTCCAGCAGACAAGAAACATTCACACCTAGCTCCAGCAGACAAGAGTCCTTTGTCCCACCCTGGTCATTCCACAGATATATAAACCCTTTTCCCTAGTTCCAACAGACCTCACAACCTCTGAGGATGCTTGCCACAGATGCAGGCGAAACGTCAGGAGAGAATGCCTCTAGAGCAGTGGTTCTCAACCTTCCTAATGCCGTGACCCCTTGATACGGTCCCTCGTGTTGTGGTGACCCCCAACCATAGTATTGTTTTTGTTGCTACTTCGTAACAGTCATTTTACTACTGCTATAAATCATAATGTAAAAATCTGATATGCGGGATGCATTTTCATTCACTGGACCAAACTGGGCACAAATACCCAATACACCCAAATGTGAATGCTAATGGGATTGGGGGAGGATTGATTTTGTCATTTGGGAGTTGTAGTTGCTGGGATTTATAGTTCACTTATAATCAAAGAACATTCTGAACTCCACCAGCGATGGATTTAAACCAAACTTGGCTCCCATGACCAATGGAAAACACTGGAACGGTTTGATGGGCATTGACCTTGAGTTTGGGAGTTGTAGTTCACCTATATCCAGAGAGCACTGTGAACTCATGCAATGGTGGATCTGGACCAAACTTGTCACGAATACTCAATATGCCCAAATGTGAACACTGGTGGAGCCTGGGGAAAATAGACCTTGACATTTGGGGGTTGTAGTTGCTGTGATTTATAGTTCATTACAATCAAAGAATATTCTGAACTCCACCAATGATAGAATTGGCTCAAAATTCCCACATGGAATCCCCATGACCAACAGAAAATACTGTGTTTTCTTATGGTCTTTGGCGACCCCTCTGACACCCCCTCGCGACCCCCTCAGGGGTCCCGACCCCCAGGTTGAGAAACACTGCTCTAGACCATGGCCATACAGCCCGAAAAAACCTACAACAACCCAGTGATTCCGGCCATGAAAGCCTTCAACAATCCATGTCGATATCTGTGCTAAAGATTCGGACAGCGTTAGTCAGAGACTGGATTTCAGTTTCGGTTTTCCCATACAGCTGCAGGTCATCCATGTCCATCAGATGTGAAATTTTGTGAGATTTCATAGATGTTTGATAGCCCAGGTTTGTTTTTTGTAAGGTTGTTGACAGAGGGATCATGGCAATGATGAAAAGCAGTGGGGACAAGGAGTCTCCTTGGAAAATTCCTCTTCTGACGTTGACAAGTCCGTAGTTTTCATTTCCAACAAACAATTCAGTTTTCCAGTGCTTCATCATATTTTCATGACGGTCTTGCTTTCAAGTGCTCTTAGTTTCATGTACTTAGTTTTTTCCAGCCTCTTGATTTGTGTATTGGCTTTTTCATGCTGCCCTGTTTCATGGATTCTTGTGTCTGTTTTATGCATTTTTTTATACGTATGGATTTTGTTTTGCCTTAAAGCTCATGGACTAACCTTTGCTTTGGAACTTTACCATTTTTGCTAATGTTAATGCTTTGCCAACTTACTGTTGGGGTTCAGCCTGATCTGTGTGAACCTGAGCCCCAGCCCCAATCTCTGTGTGAACCTGATTGTATTTCCAACTGAACATGTATCTCTCCCTGACAGTGTTGAAACTGTTGTTGATGTTGAGGTCAGTGGCGAGGAAAGTGAAACTGAACAGCCGGATGAAAATGTTTTGGAATCCAGCCGTGATAGGTCTCCACCTGGGCTTTTTAATGAGGACCGAAGGGAACAGATAGCTAGAGACAGGAGTGATTCACAGTTTCTACGAAGGTCAAATAGATTACAGGAGAGACAGGCCCAGGCTTCAAAGTCAAGGGGCGTTTCAAGGAATAGTTTCTTTGGTTTAAGGGCCTCCTTCCAGGTGTCTCGTTAGATCAAGCAATGTTTTGGACTGTGGCTCTGCCTTGGCAGAATTCCTGTGTTCCATGGCCAGTAATCCCAGAGGCTTCTAGTTTTCAAGTACCTGGTTAGCGTGAGGCTAACAGGTTCCTGGTTCTTGTATTGTGGTTTTTGGAATTTTGCTCAAGTTCAGAGATTTTCCTGACTGCTGTGTTTTTATTGTGGCTTTTTGACTTTGCATTTACCTTTCTTTTGTAACCAATTTTTCATCAATAAAAAAGGATTGTTTCTCCTACAGTCCAGTGTGGTGGATTTAATCTTATGGTCTCGTTTCCTGATGTGGGATGCAACACTTACATTCTTCAATAAACTGCTTGATGATTTTACCAAGCTCTTGTGGTGTTTAAGGTCAGAGGTGTCCCTGCTCTGGTGTATGCAGAGGCGGCTCTAGGTAATTTTCAATGGTGAGCAAACAGTATTTTGCCCCCCCCCCCCCAACCAATCACTGATATATATTTTCTGTTCGTCATGGAAGTTCTGTTTGCCATATTTGGTTCAATTCCATCATTGGTGGAGTTCAGAATGCTCTTTGATTTTAGGTGAACTATACATCCCAGTAACTACAACTTGCATATGTTGAGGTCTATTTTCCCCCAAGAGCGCCTCAAGAGCGCCCCTGGGCAAAATCAACTATACTGCAAATGCTTACTTTGCGTAATGGTTGAGCCGCCCCTGGTTGTATGACAGTGAGACCCTGAAAGGGTCCTGGGTGCCAAGCGAAGCCTCATGCATATCTCCTTCCTTCCTTCCTTCCTTCCTTCCTTCCTTCCGCACCAGGTGTTCCACTACCAGGATCAGGCCTATCCTCCGCAGACGGGACGCTTCTTGGGCCGAGTCACCTGGGATGGCAATGCGCTCAAGAGCGATGCCTCCATCCTGCTCTGGAACGTCAGTCCCGGGGACAACGGCACCTTCTTCTGCCACATCAAGAACCCCCCAGACGTCGATGGGGTGGCCGGAGAGATCGAGTTGAGCGTCGTGCTGAAAGGTCCGCCTGAGTGGGAGACGGAGGGTGGCTATTTGTGGGAGAGAGTGAGGGCACCAAAAGTATCCGGCCATCTTTTCCTTTCTGTTTCTTCTCCTTTCTCCTCCTCACAGTGAGCTTCTCGGAGATCCACGTTCTGGCCCTGACCATCGGTGGTGCCTGTGCTCTGATGATTGTCGTGGTGATTGTGGTGGTAGTCTGCCGGCAGCGACGGAACGCCAGGAAGGACCAGGCGGAGGAGACAGAGATGTAAGTGCGGGGGGGGGGGGGGGCATAAAGCATATCCAGTGGGGCAGTGGGCATTGTTGGTGGGGGCTGGGTCTCTCTTTGGTGCAGAGGGGTTCGTTCATCTGGAGAGGCCCTGCTCTCGATCCCACCAGCACCGCAGGCGTGGTTGGTGGGGATGAGAGAGAGGGCCTTTTCGGTGGTGGCCCCTCGACTCTGGAACTCTCTCCCTAAAGACATCAGACAGGCCCCAACTTTGGCAGTCTTTAGGAGGAGCTTGAAGACGTGGTTGTTCCAGTGTGCCTTCCCGGAATTCCGAAGCACTTTACATTTCTTTAGGTCTGCTCGTATGCCCTTCCACAAACGCCACTATCACCTTCTCGTCCATGTCCCAGCATTACTTCCAATTTTAATTTTTACATTTGGCCTTCCCACTGTTTAATTGTGAGTGGTGTTATTGATAATGTTGTATATTTTATTGTCTATGTTTTATTTTAATTTGCTTGTACTGATGTTATTGCTTGTATTGTTGTATTGTGGGCTCGGCCTCATGTAAGCCGCACCGAGAGGGGAGATGGTAGCGGGGTACAAAAAAGTATTATTATTATTATTATTGTTGTTATTGTTATTATTATAACTCTTTCGTTCCCATAACTCTTCCTTTTCTCTGTGAAGGGAAATATTCATGCAGGGACCCCTTCCTGGGACCCCCACCCCATCCCTTGGCTACCTTCTCTGCTTCCAATAGGGACCTGACCTCTGTCTTTGTCTCCCCAAATGCCAGGCCGGAGAAAGAGAAGCTGCGCGGAGTCCCGGAAGAGGAGAGGGAGGCCACACTGCCCGGAGGGGAGGCCTGAGTGCCCCTCACTCACTCACTCTCACTCAATCTCTCACTCACTCACTCTGCCTGGAGGAGTTGGATGGACCTGCCTGAGAAGACCTTCGTGACATGGACAGGTTGAGTGGAGAGTGGGAGCGCTTTCTACATGACAGCCCTCTAAAATGGCATGGAAAAAGCCCCCCGGAGACCACCCCCAAAACCTGGAAGGGAGAAACCTCTTTCGAAGCCAGCCTGGACCCTTCAGATTCCTCCTCCAATTCAGACCTCTCCTGCTTCACCTTTCCTGGAGGTTCTCCTGCAGAGACTACTAAGGGAAAGGGCCAATAGCCATGCACACCCCAAACTCCGAGGTCCAAAGATGGGTGCCATGCACAGCTTGGTCATCCCAAACCCTTCAGTATTTGTATTATTGTAGGCTTTCGTGGCCGAAATCACTGGCTTGCTGTGAGTTTTACGGACTCCCTGGCCATGTTCCAGTAGCATTCTCTCCTGACGTTTCACCCACATCTATGGCAGGCATCCTCAGAGGTTGTGAGGCCTGTTGGAAACTAGGCAAGTGGTGTGTGTGTGGAATAATATATATGTGTGTGTATGTGGAATAATATCCAGGGTGGGAGAAAGAACCCTTGCCTGTTTGAGGCAAGTGGGAATGTGTCCATTGCCCAGCTTGAATAGCATTAAATAGCATTTCCATCTGAACATGAGGAAGAACTTCCTGACTGTGAGAGCCGTTCAGCAGTGGAACTCTCTGCCCTGGAGTGTGGTGGAGGCTCCTTCGTTGGAAGCTTTTGAACAGAGGCTGGATGGCCATCTGTCAGGGATGATTTGAATGCGATTTTCTTGCTTCTTGGCAGAATGGGGTTGGACTGGATGGCCAAGGAGGTCTCTTCCAACTCTAGGATTCTATGATTCTATGAGTAGCCTTGCAGCTGCAAAGTCAATCAGTGAGGTTCTGCATAGAGAGGTCTGTTAGAAATGAGGCAAGTGGAGTGTCTATCTGTCTATCTATCTATCTATCTATCTATCTATCTATCTATCTATCTATCTATCTATCTATCTATCTATCTATCTATCTATCTATCTATCTGTGGAATGATGTCCAAGGTAAGAGAAAGAGGCAAGTGTGAATGTTGCTTGAGGCAAATGTGAATGTTGCTATTAGCAAGATTAGTTAGCATTGAGTAGCCTTGTAGCTGCAAAGTCAATCAGTGAGGGTCTCTGCATAAAGGCCTGTTGGAATCAAGGGAAATGAACTCTCTCTGTGTGTGTATATATATATGTAAATAAATAAATGGAATGATGTCCAGGGTTGTAGAAAGAACTCTTGTCTGTTGGAGGCGAGTGTGGATGTTGCAATTGGCAAGCTTGATTAGCACTGAATAGCCTTGCAGTTGCAAAGTCAATCAGTGAGGGTCTCTGCATAAAGGCCTATTGGAAACAAGGCAAGTGTATATATCCCTATGGAATGATGTCCAGGGTAGGAGAAAGAATCCTTGTCTGTTTGAGGTAAGCTTGAATGTTGCAGTTGGCCAACTTGATTAGCATTGAGTGGCCTTGCAGCTGCAAAGTCAATCAGTGATGGTATCTGCATAGAAGTAGCCTGGCTTCTGTTGCCTGGAGGCACCCTCTGTGGAATGATGTCCAGGGTGGGAGAAAGAACCCTTGTCTGTTTGAGGTAAGCGTGAATGTTGCAGTTGGCCAGCCTGAATAGCACTGAGTGGCCTTGCAGTTGCAAAGTCAATCAGTGAGGGTCTCTGCATAAAGGCCTATTGGAAACAAGGCAAGTGGAATGTATATATTCTTATGGAATCATGTCCACGGTGGGAGAAAGAACTCTTGTCCGTTGGAGGCAAATGTGGATGTTGCAGTTGGCAAGCTTGATTAACACTGAATAGCCTTGCAGCTGCAAAGTCAATCAGTGAGGGTCTCTGCATAAAGGTCTATGGGAAACAAGGCAACTGGAGTGTATATATTCTTATGGAATGATGTCCAGGGTGGGAGAAAGAACCCTTGTCTGTTTGAGGTAAGTGTGAATGTTGCAGTTGGCCAGCCTGAATAGCACTGAGTGGCCTTGCAGTTGCAAAGTCAATCAGTGAGGGTCTCTGCATAGAGGTAGCTTGGCTTGTGTTGCCTGGAGGCACCCTCTGTGGAATGATGTCCAGGGTGGGAGAAAGAACCCTTGTCTGTTTGAGGTAAGCGTGAATGTTGCAGTTGGCCAGCCTGAATAGCATTGAGTGGCCTTGCAGCTGCAAAGTCAATCAGTGAGGGTCTCTGCATAGAAGTTTGTTGGAAACATGGCAAGTGGTGTCTGTCTGTCTGTCTGTCTATCTAACTATCTATCTATCTATCTATCTATCTATCTATCTATCTATCTATCTATCTATCTATGTCCAGGGTGGGAGAAAACCCATGTCTGTGTGAAGCAAGTGTGAATGTTGCAATGAGCATGCTTGAATAGCATTGAGTAGCCTTGCAGCTGCAAAGCCTGGCTGTTTCTGCCTGGGGGAATCCTTTGTTGGGAGGTGTTATCTGACCCTGATGGGAGGTTGTGAGGTCTCTGATGTGGGCAAAACACATCATATGATGTTTTGCCATAGATGTGGGCAAAACATCAGGAGAGAATGCTTCTGGAACATGGCCAGACGGCTTGGAAAACTCACAGCAACCTTCAGTATTTCTTCGCATGTTTTGCTTCCTAGCTCTCAGTGGTTTGTTGACAGCAGGGGAGGGGAATGTGCCATGGCCCCTGAACTGCATGTCCCATCACCTCTGGGAGCTGCAGGACAACCATATCCAGGGCCTGCGTTCTCCCCAAACCCTTCTTCTGTCCAGCCTGCCCTTTGCCCCATGACTGCAGAGGTCATCCGATGTCCGAGCGGTCATTGCCTCCCAGCCCATGGCTCTCTTGCAACAGCCTCGCCTCTGCAAATGCTGCCTTCACTGCCTTTGCTCCTCGCTGCAAACCGTGTAGGGTGTAAAAACAGAACGTGTTACGATAGAGTGACTTATTTTCGTAATGTAATTTATTTTTTAAGACGTATGCAAATAAATGGCTAGACTTTGGTAGTAAAGACGGGAGATGACTCGGTGATTGATGACACACTTAGAACCCATGGAAATTTGCCAGGAGTGCCCTGTGATTTTCCTGCAGGTCGGAAGGGGGTTGGAGTAGATGGCAACATGTGGTCTCTTCCAACTCCAGGAGTCTATGATTGACTCTACTTCGTGAAGAGCTCAACAGCGAGAAGAGCACATACCATCAGTCAGAACAGGCATGGGCCAACATGGGTCTTCCTTGCAGGTGTTTTGGACTTCAACTCCCACAATTCCTGGCCTCAGACCCCTTCCCTTTCCCCCTCAACCGCTTAAGGTTAACTGAAAAGAGTCAGTAGTCCAAAGCCTGTTAGAGTCAATGGGCCAAAGCTAGTGTCATCCCGAGGAGAGTGAGGTAAACCTCAGTGTGAGAGAAGACCCATGTGAGAAAGCTCCAGTGTGAAGGCTGCTGTATGTAAAGCTACTATGTATTTGCTTATTTGTGTTATGGAAAACTCAATTTAGTAGCCTATTAGAGTTAGTGGGCCAAAGCCAGTGTCATCCTGAGGAGAGTGAGGTAAACCTCAGTGTGAGAGAAGATCCATGTGAGAAAGCTCCAGTGTTAAGGCTGCTGTATGTAAAGCTACTATGTATTTGCTTATCTGTGTTATGGAAAACTTATTTCAGTAGCCTGTTAGAGTTAGTGGGCCAAAGCTAGTGTCATCCTGAGGAGAGTAAGGTAAACCTCAGTGTGAGAGAAGACCCATGTGAGAAAGCTCCAGTGTGAAGGCTGCTGTATGTAAAGCTACTATGTATTTGCTTATTTGTGTTATGGAAAAGTTATTTTAGTCGCCTATTAGAGTTAGTGGGCCAAAGCTAGTATCATCCTGAGGAGAGTGAGGTAAACCTCAGTGTGAGAGAAACCTCATGTGGGAAAGCTCCAGTGTGAAGGCGGCTGTATGTAAAGCTACTATGTATTTGCTTATTTGTGTTATGGAAACCTTATTTTAGTAGCCTATTGGAGTTAGTGGGCCAAAGCCAGTGTCATCCTAAGGAGAGTGAGGTAAACCTCAGTGTGAGAGAAGCCTCATGTGAGAAAGCTCCAGTGTGAAGTTGTCCCCTGGCTGGGATAGATGGAGGAGAGAATCGAGGAGACCCATTTCAGTCTTATTATGAGGTTGTTTGGCTTTCGAGTGCATCAGGAGATGAAGCACGTCTATCACAACATAGGGACTGACCCCTCCAAGGAAGCCACACAATTGCCTGGAGTTTCCAGGGCCTGACTAGATGGCCTCTGGAGGACTCCTACCAGAGCCGTTGAGGCGGCAAGATCTGCCAATCTGACTCTGCTCCAGGTTTCCCCAGCGCGTGTCTTCCTTGAAAGCAAGCAGGTCGGGACAGGCCCACAGTCAGAAAAAATATTTGGGAGGGGTTAAAGCTTTTGAGGCCAGTGTCTTGTGATCTGGCACGAGATCTCATCAAGGCCCTGAAATGACCGTCATTGCGCAAAGGTTCTTCGCAGGTAATCGGTCCTGAATCCTTGCTCCCTCTTGTGGGCCACAAAGGACAATTGTTTCCATACCTGGCAGAAGTTTTTTTCCCTGTTTTCTTCTGCTTTCTTCTTATTTCCTTTCTCATCAAGACGTTTCCCATTACGAATGAGCAAGAAGTTTGATCGTACCAATGGTTTTCAGAAGATTTACAAGCCACTCTAAACACCTTTGCAGAAGCATACAAGAAGCTCAGCCTATCATTGAACATCGAGAAAACTAAAGTGCTCTTCCAGCAGTCCCCAGCCAACCCCTTTTCAAATGTTAGAGATACAACTCAATGGTGTAACGTTAGAAAATGTGGACCATTTCCACTCCCTTGGCAGCCACCTCTCCACAAAAGTCAACATTGACACCAAAATACAACACTACCTGAACTCTGCGAGTGCAGCATTCTTCCGAATGAAGCAGAGAGTGTTTGAGGACAGGAACATCCGTAGAGAGACCAAGAGGCTTGTTTATAAAGCTATTGTCCTCCCAACCCTGGTTTACGCCTGCGAGACGTGGACTTTCTACAGACGTCACATGCAACTCCTGGAATGATTCCATCAGCCTCCGGAAAATCCTGCAAATCTCTTGGGCAGACAGGTGGACATATGTCAGTGTGCTGAAAGAAGAAGCAAAGACCACCAGCATTGAAGCGATGGTCCTCCGCCATCAACTCTGCTGGACCGGCCACGTTGTCCAGACGCCCGACCACCATCTCCCAAAGCAGTTGCTCTACTCTGAACTTAAGAACGGAAAACGGAATGTTGGCGGGCAGGAAAAGAGATTGAAAGATGGGCTCAAATCCAACCTCAAAAACTTTGGCATAGACATTGAGAACTGGGAAGCCCTGGTCCTTGTGAGCTCCAGCTGGAGGTCAGCTGTGACCAGCAGTGCTGCAGAATTTGAAGAGGCACCAATGGGGTGAAAGAGAAAAACGTGCCAAGAGGAAGGCGCATCAAGCCAACCCTGACCGGGACTGCCTTCCACCTGGAAACCATTGCCCTCACTGCGGGAGACAATGCAGGTCAAGAAGAGGGTTCCACAGTCACCTACGGATCCACCTTGGAGGATTATCCTGGTCAGACAATGAGGGATCGCCTAAGTAAGTAGTAAGTAGCCACCAATGCACCAAGCTTCTGATGAGCACCTTGGCCCCCAACTTCTCCTCCAAACACCACATTGTACTTACAGAGTGCACCTGTATATGGCATGAGTAGGCCAACCAGGGAAATCTGCTGAACCATTTGGGTTGAAATCTTAGATGCTCTTCTTGTCCACAGGAAATACATATCTTGGCCATGGAGTCTGTGGATTTTGCACTAACTGAGCTTTCACTTGGTCATCATACACAGTCTTGGTCCTTTTTCTGCCTAAGTGGAGTCTCTTGCATTTGTCCCTGTTGAACTTCATTTGTGTTAGTTTTGGCCCATCATCTCTCTCATCTGTTCAGATCGTTTTGAATTCTGCCCCTGTCTTCTGGAGTCTTGGTTCTTCCTCCCCATTTGGTCCTGTCTGCAAACTTGATGATCTTGCCTTCTAGCCCCTCATTTAAGTCATTAATGAAGTCCTAAATGGTTCTGGCCCAACTTACCTGTCCTTATGAACAATCTGGGACTTTAAGATTGTCTGCGGAAAGCCCTGCTCTTGATCCCACCTGCATCACAAATACGTTTGGTGAGAACGAGAGACAGGCTCTTCTTGGTGGTGGCCCCTCGGCTATGGAATGCCCTTCCTGGGGACATTAGTTTGGCCCCCTCCCTTTTAACATTCTGGAAAAAGTCAAAACTTGGTTGTTTGAGCAAGCGTTTGAAAATGCAGTGTAACAGACATAAGAATATGGAACGATTGGATGAGAGCACTGATTTCCAGGTGGAAGGCAGTCCCCATCGGGGTTGGCTTGACATGCCTTCCTCTTGGCACATTTCTCTCTTTCGCCCTCCATTCGTGCCTCTTCAAATTCTACAGCACTGCTGGTCACAGCTGACCTCCAACTCAAGGGCCAGGGCTTCCCAGTTCTCAGTGTCTATGCCAGAGATTTTAAGGCTGACTTTGATCCCATCCTTAAATCTCTTTTCCTGCCCAACAACATTCCGTTTTCTGTTCTTGAGTTCGGAGTAGAGCAACTGCTTTGGGAGACGGTGGTCGGGCATCTGGACAACGTGGCCAGTCCAGCGGAGTTGATGGCGGAGGACCATCGCTTCAATGCTGGGGGTCTTTGCTTCTTCCAGCACGCTGACATTTGTCCGCTTGTCTTCCCAAGAGATTTGCAGGATTTTCCGGAGGCAGCGCTGATGGAATCGTTCCAGGAGTTGCATGTGACGTCTGTAGACGGTCCACGTTTCGCAGGCGTATAGCAGGGTTGGGAGGACAATAAACAAGACCCTTGGTTTCCTTACGGATGTCTCAGTCCTCAAACACTCTCTGCTTCATTTCAAAGAATGCTGCACTCGGAGAGCTCAGGCAGTGTTGTATTTCAGTCTCTATGTTGATGTCTATAGACAGTCCATGTTTCACAGGCGTATAACAGGGTTGGGAGGACAATGGCTTTATAAACAAGCCCCTTGGTCACCCTACGGATGTCTCAGTCCTCAAACACTCTCTGCTTCTTTGGAAGAATGCAGCACTCACAGAGCTCAGGCAATGTTGTATTTCAGTCTTACTGTTGATGTCTGTAGACAGTCCATGTCCCACAGGCGTATAGCCAGGTTGGGAGGGGAATAGCTTTATAAACAAGCCCCTTGGTCTCCCTACGGATGTCCTGGTCCTCAAACAGTCTCTGATTCATTTGGAAGAATGCTGTACTCACAGAGCTCAGGCGGTGTATTTCAATTTCAATGTTGATGTCTATAGACAGTCCACGTTTCACAGGCGTATAACAGGGTTGGGAGGACAATGGCTTTATAAACAAACCCCTTGGTGCGTCGAAAAGTAAGTAATGAGGGTGTGAATAATCCAAATGTGGTTGAGAGAATGCTTGCAGTTGTAGATGGACTCTAATGTTTGCTTCTCATAGGCTTGGCAGTGGGATTTCATAGAATCATAGAATCCTAGAGTTGGAAGAGACCTCCTGGGCCATCATCCAGTCCAACCCCTTTCTGCCAAGAAGCAGGAATATTGCATTCCAATCACCCCTAACAGATGGCCATCCAGCCTCTGTTTCAAAGCTTCCAAAGAAGGAGCCTCCACCACACTCCGGGGCAGAGAGTTCCACTGCTGAACGGCTCTCACAGTCAGGAAGTTCTTCCTCATGTTCAGATGGAATCTCCTCTCTTGTAGTTTGAAGCCATTGTTCCTTGTCCTAATCTCCATGGAAGCAGAAAACAAGTTTGCTCCCTCCTCCCTGTGGCCCCCTCTCATATATTTATACATAGCTATCATACTGCGAGAAGATCCAACCAGTCCATCCTCCAGGAAATAAAGCCCGACTGCTCATTGGAGGGAAGGAGACGAGAGACAAAGCTGAAGTCCTTTGGCCACATCATGAGGAGACAGCAAAGCCTAGAGAAGACTATTATGTTGGGGAAAGTGGAAGGCAAAAGGAAGTGGGGCCGACCAAGGGCAAGATGGATGGATGGCATCCTTGAAGGGACTGGACTGACCTTGAAGGAGACCCTGGGGGTGGTGACGGCCGACAGGGAGCTCTGGCGTGGACTGGTCCATGCGGTCACGACGAGTCTGAGACGACTGAACGAATGAACAACAATCATATCTCCTCTCATCCTTCTCTTCTTCAGGCTAAACCTGCCCAGCTCCTTAAGCCGCTCCTCATAGGGCTTGTTCTCCAGACGCTTGATCATTTGAGTTGCTTAACCAGGGGAAATTCAGGAGTGTCTTGTTTTTGACCTGATCAACGTCGTTTTGTGTTTGGAAGCCCCGAGGAGGGGCTTAGGGAGGGAGCAAACCAGGCCCGCCCCCTCCTGCATGTGAGTCCTGCAAGGCCCCGCCCCTTCCTGTTTCACCTGCCCGGCAGGTAGGCGTCCCAGGCGGAAGAGAAGAGGGTTTGCGGAATGGGGGGCGAGCCGTGCCCAGCCTCGACCCCCCCTCTGTCGGGGATGCACCTTTTCTTTCTCGGTGAGGGAGGGGAGGGGGCACATGGGGGGTGGGCGCTGGGGGGTGGGGTGGGGCCCCGATCCAGGTGCTCCTAGAAGGCACCTTCCTCATGTCGGCCGCCATCCTTTCCCCTCTCTCCAGGTGTTGTGGACTCCAACTCCCAGTAGCCCCAGAGATGGAAATATGGGGGAGGGAAATATGGGGGAAACCCTTGAAGCCCTTGGAAGAGCCCTGAAAGGAGGGGGAGGGCGTGGGGAGAAAATCCGTGGGGAGAAAAGCCCTCCCACCTGCTCGAATTGGAAAGGGACCCCAGGATTTCCTAAACTGGGGTCCCCCACTTCACCCCAACCTGTAAATAACATGGGGTCAATGTCAGGATCAGGAAACCTTGGGCAACAGGGAGTGTTTCCCCAGCTCCCCCTAGTGGTCGCTTTAGATACAACACGGATCTCCTTTGCTTTGTTTACAATGGGATTCTTGCAAAAGATGCTCAACAGGAAGAGTGGCCTGTTGAGCAAGTATTGCAAATGCTGCTTTGTTATGTCTCAGTCAGTATTTGATTTGGTTCGACTCAGGCATGGGCAAACTTTGGCCCTTCCTCCAGGTGTTTTGGACTCCAACTCCCAGCATTCCTAACAGCCTCAGGCCCTTTCCTTTTCCCCCTCAGCAGCTTAAGCGGCTGAGGGGGAAAAGGAAGGGGCCTGAGGCTGTTAGGAATGCTGGGAGTTGGAGTCCAAAACACCTGGAGGGCCCAAAATGGACTATCCTTCTCTGTCTAGTGCCCCCTTGTGGCCTTCGCCGATATAATGGAACAATACCTTTGATTTTTGTACCTAGGGGTCTGATGGGGAGCTGCTGGCTTTTTTTTGGGGGGGGGGGTCTTTGCAAATAAGCTTCCGAGTTGAAGGTGAGGAGGGGGCAATAGGAGGGGGAAACAGTTTCAAGTCCCCCCCCCACATTCCTCTCTTGTAGTTTTTGCAAAGCAAATGGATACAGAAACATTGCAAACCATTGTTAGTATATACACACACATACATATATATACACACACATATATACATATATATAGATGTATATATATATATATAGATTTATATATATAGATTATATATATATAGATTTACACATATAAATATGTGTATATATGTGTGTGTGTGTATATACACACACACATATATATATATATATATATATACATATATGTGTATATATATACACAAACACATATATACACATATTTATATGTGTAAATCTATATAAATATAAATGTAATGTTCGTTTGTGGGATTAACATAACTCAAAAACCATTGGACGAATTGACACCAAATTTGGACACAAGACACCTAGCAATCCAACGAGTGTCCATCACCCCTAAACACGCACATACACACAAAACTCCAGCAGAACAGACTTAAACCCCCCAAAAATACACAATATATACATAACACATAGTCATATGCTTATACACATGCACACATTCATACATACACACACAAGTACACACACATATACATATACACACAAATATGCATATAGACAAGCACACACATATACACAATATGCATGCACACATATAAACACACAAATACACAAATATACACACACATATATACACACACACATATACACCCATACAAAACCCCAGCAGAACAGACTTAAACCCCCCAAAAATACACTATATACATATGCACATACAGTCATATGCTTATACACATGCAGACATTCATACATACACACACAAGTACACACACATATACATATACACATACACACACATATACATATACACATACACACACATATACATATACACACAAATATGCATATAGACAAGCACACACATATACACAATATGCATGTACACATATAAACACACAAATACACAAATATACACACATATATACACACACATATACACCCATACAAAACCCCAGCAGAACAGACTTAAACCCCCCAAAAATACACAATATATACATATGCACATACAGTCATATGCTTATACACATGCACACATTCATACATACACACACAAGTACACACACAAATATGCATATAGACAAGCACACACATATACATAATATGCATGTACACATATAAACACACAAATACACAAATATACACACACATATACACACACATATACACCCATATATATATACACACACACATACACACACATATATGCACAAACACACATATATGCACAAATATATACACATACACAAACACATATATACACAAAATACATATACACAAACTGGGCCACAGCAACGCATGGCAGGGGTCGGCTAGTATTATATATATATTATTATATTATATTATTTACATAAGTTCCCATGATATTTACGTAAGGTCCCATGACCTAGAGTGTTTCTATGTTCTGGCCTCATTTTGTTGGTGTGTAACATATGAACAGCATTATTCAAACCCAATATATTAAACCTCAGATGCTTTTGTAGTTATAATAATAATAATAATAATAATAATAATAATAATAAAATAATAATAATACTTATTTATATTGTGCTCTCTCTCTCTCTCTATATATATATATATAGATTGCGCCTCTGGTGGTGCAGTGGGTTAAGCCACTGAACTTGTTGACCGAATCAACAGTTTGAATCCAGGGAGCTGGGTGAGCTCCCGCTGTTAGGCCCAGCTCCTGCCAACCCAGCAGTTCAAAAACATGCAAATGTGAGTAGATCAATAGGTACCACTTCTATAGGAAGGTAACAGTTCTCCATGCAGTCATGTCAGTGGCCACGTGACCTTGGAGGTGTCTACGGACAAAGCTGGCTCTTCAGCTTAGAAATTAGATGAGCACCAGAATCTTAGAGTCAGACTCGACTAGACTTAATGTCAAGGGGAAACCTTTGCCTTTACCTATCTCCCTGAGGGGACTCAGAGCAGATTACAGTATACACATTCAATGCCTTTTATGCAGTGAACAATGACATACAAAATAAATGAATAAATAAATAAATACAATACACAAACAAAGGCAAAGGTTTCCCTTTCCATCTCCAGCATCTGGAGGTGATGCTCAACTCTGGCCACAAGGAGGTGCTCTTGTTCCATTTCTTTTTTCCTGTTGTCCATAGGCACCTCCTGGTCGCATTGCCAGCACAGCTGCATGGGCAACTTTATTACCTTCCCGCTGAAATTGTACCTATTGATCTACTCACATTTGCGTGCTTTTGAACTACTAGGTTGGCAGGAGCTAGGGCGAACAGCAGAAGCTCACCCCGACCGACGTCTTTGAAATACCAACCTTCCGGTCAGCAGCACAAGGGTTTCCTATTGTGCTACCCATGACCCCAGTTTTTCTTCTGTTGTTAATCCAGGGCAAACTCTTCGGATTTGCACACCAATTATTGTTTTTCTCTAATTCAGGAAAACTCAGATTTATTTATTTGGACATTTCACTATTACATACTGATAATGATGATCATATGGTTCACCTTTGTATCCCTCGGCAGCAGCAGCCATGGCTGGAGCCCACTCCCTAGAGATCCAGGCTGACCCCAGGGTCCAGGCCTTTGTGGGGGAGCCTGTGACCCTCAAGTGCTGGTTTAAGTCCTTTGCCCCTCTCACCGAGAAGCTGACCGTCGACTGGACTTACCGGCCACGGGCGGGGGGCAGCCTGGAGCCGGTGAGTATGGACAGAGGGGAGGGGGAGGCCTCCAAGCTCATGGTTGACCCGCATGACACCCCCACCACTGCCCCCAGGTCTTCCACTACCAGTCCCAGGCCTTCCCAGCGCAGGGGGGCACCTTCCGGGGTCGTGTCCTCTGGGCCGGAGACATCAGCAAGAGTGATGCATCCATCCGTATCATCAACCCTTCACTGGACGACAACGGGACTTTCACTTGCACCGTCAGGAACCCTCCGGACGTGCAGCACAACATCCCCCAGACCCTGTTGACCGTCACTCACAGAGGTGAGGCCCTTCTTCTGGGAAGGGGATTATTTGGCCCCTTTAGGTCTCATTTGGAGGGGTTCAGAAGAGCCCTCGTTTGTTTATTTATTTAGGGAATTTCTATACATACCTATCAGTCCAATTTGCTGGCCAATTTGCTTCTTACCATCCAATTAACTGACTTCAGACACAGTTGTTTCTGCTTCAGTAGCGGCTCTAATCTTTATTTACAGTTCATTCCTTGCAATGACACTTACTCACTGGCACGGTCAGATGGAAGGGAGAAGAGCCAAGAGAAAGAACAAAAGGGCCTCTGCTCTATTTACACCCCACTGTTAACAACCCAAAAGAGTGACATGGATTCTACCTTATAGAAAATTATAATTACTATTAAATAAAATTAAATGCAGTCTAAAATTCCAATATGATAATAAAGGGAAAGAGAAAGGTTTCCCCTTGACGTTAAGTCTAGTTGTGTTCCACCCTTGGGGGGTGGTACTCATCTCCATTTCTAAGTTGAAGAGCTGGGGTTGTCCATAGACACCTCCTAGGTCATGTGGCCAGCATGACTGCATGGAGCGCCATTACCTTCTGTGAGGCAAGGGAGAGAGACTATGTCATCTTTAAAAACCTTTTTGCTGCCTTATACTGATTCAGTTTCTTCTTTTATATTGGCTGGGACTTTCTGTATGCTGTTAAACCTTTGTACTTTATATCACAGGCAATGAAACACTCTTGTGTATAACAAAGTAACATGGTTTATTTATAACTTCTGGCTCCAACGCTGGTGGTTACATTTGTGTTTTGTTGCAATCTTGAGGCTTACAGTCAGTATCATTTACTACTTAACTTTTCTGAATAAACTATCAATGTTTCATATTCACAAACATGTTACTAGCTTTACACACTCTTGGCTGAATTATATTCTGAGCTAAGGCAACACTGGCCTTCTTTATGTGCCTTAAAACTCGAGCTCTATTTAACTAACTTCTCTATATCAGAAGTCTTTAACACATCTTCATAACTGCTTCTTTCTATCAGGCACTCAAAAACCAACTCTTCTCTTCACACACAGATTCCTAACTGCCGTTTTCAAACTCCCTCACTCTATCTGCCTCTTTCAGAACCTTGGCTCCGCCCCTTTGGAATGTTCAGCTCTGCTCTCCCCAACTGTCATTTTGGCCTAGCAGCCTTTTCAAATCCTGGGCCTACACTAATCTGCATATATCCAATTGGCTTCACATATGCAAATGAATCCTATCTCTGCTGTTGCTACCCTGTCTGTGCCTATTCTTCCCTATCTGCCATATGTAAACATAGAGCTATACATCAAAAGTTTAACATAGAGTAGCAATTTCGCTACACCTTCCTGTCGAAACGGTACCTACTGATCTACTCACACTTGTATGTTTTCAAACTGTTAGGTTGGCAGAAGCTGAGCCTAACAGTTTGAGCTCACCCCACTCGCTGGATTTGAACTGCCAACCTTTTGGTCAGCAAGTTCAGCAGCTCAGCGGTTTAACTTGCTGCATCACCAGGGGGCTGTATGATAATAAAATAATATTGCGCCCTCCCTCCAGGTGTTTTCGACTTCAACTCCCACCATTCCCTACAGCTTCAGGCCCTTCCTTTACACCCTCAGCCGCTTAAGTGCATAAAGTACTTACATTTCCAATTTGACAGATGCAACTGTCTTTCGGGTTGCATAGGTTGACAGCAAGCTAGACTAATGGCCAGAAGCTCACTCCGACCCAGGGTAAGATGGATCCTTGAAGGGACTGGTTTGAGCCTGGGGGTGGCAATGGCCGACAGGGAGCTCTGGCCCGGCCTGGTCCAGGAGGTCACAAAGATTCGGAGGAAATTGAACGAATAAACAACAACAGGGCGGAATAAAATAAAGTATTGTTGTTGTTGTTGTTGTTGTTGTGAAGATGACCCCCTTCCGCGCTCTCCTCCTTCCCAGGCGCCTCTTTCCAACTGACCTCGGCCGGACTGCTCTCCCTCCTGGTGTTCCTCCCTTCGGCGGTGGTGGTGGCCCTACTGCTGGTCCGGATGGGCAAGAAGTCCGGGCTTCTGAAAGCCAAGAAAAGGAAGTTTGGCTACAAGAAGTCCTCCATCGAAGTCTCCGATGAGTAAGGACCTCCTTCCCTCTTTCCTGGCCAGGGGTTGGTGGAGTTGGCCTTGTTGATTTATTTCCTGGTGGGCTTTATGGACCTGCCCTCAACTCCATTCCAATCCTCTTGCACTCTCTCTCAGCCCAGAGCCTCCTGGATGCCGGGAAAAGCTGGTCAGATGCTGCCTGCGGTGCCTGGTAAGCAGAAACCCCATTTGTCCATCCCTCGTTGTCTGAGTAAGATTGTCCTCCAAGCTTAAGCGGCTGAAGGGGAAAAGGAAAGGGCCTGAGGCCAGGAATTGTGGGAGTTGAGGTCCAAAACACCTGGAAGGAAGGCCTAAGTTGGCCCATGCCTGTTCTGACCGATGGTATGACTCTTATTGCTGTTGAGCTTTCCATAAAGTAGAGTCAATCATAGACTACTAGAATTGGAAGAGACCCCATGTGGCCATCTAGTCCAACACCCATTCTGCTCCGCAGGAAAAGTACCTCTAACATATTTCCATGGGCTCGAAGTGTGTCGTCAGACACAATGTTATCTCCCATTTTTACTACCAAAGTCTAGCCATTTATTTGCATACGTCTTCAAAAACGTCTTCAAAAAATAAATTACGTTCTGGGAAAAAATCACTCTATCAGAGGCCACAAGGGGGTGCTAGACAGAGAAGGATAGTCCATTTTGGGCCCTCCAGGTGTTTTGGACTTCAACTCCCAGCATTCCTAACAACCTCAGGCCTTTCCCTACATGGGCCATCTAGTCCAACCCAATTCTGCTAATGTTCTGCTCAACTTATAATAATATATTATAATTATATATTTATATTACATGTAATATTACTAATGGTATTACAATATAATAGTATTACAATATAACGCGTTGCTGTGGCCCACTCTGGTGGTCATGGGGGTTCTGTATGGGAGGTTTGGCCCAATTCTATCGGTGGTGGGGTTCAGAATGCTCTGTTGTTGTAGGTGAACTACAAATCCCAGCAACTACAACTCCCAAATGTCAAGATTCTATTTCCCCCAAACTCCACCAGTGTTCACATTTGGGCATTTTGAGTATTCGTGTAGAGTTTGGTCCAGATCCATCATTGTTTGAGTCCACAGTGCTCTCTGGATGTAGGTGAACTACAACTCCCAAACCAAAGGACACTGCCCACCAAACCCAGTATTTTCTGTTGGTCATGGGAGAACTGTGTGCCAAGTTTGGTTCAGTTCCATCATTGGTGGAGTTCAGAATGCTCTTTGATTGTAGGTGAACTATAAATCCCAGCAACTACAACTCCGAAATGACAAAATCAATTTTTTTAGTGATGGTCACTCGTTGGCCTGATAGGTGTATTATGTCCAAAGGACATACATTGGCCTGGTGGGTGTCTTGTGTCCAAATTTGGTGTCAATTCGTCCAGTGGTTTTTGAGTTCTGTTAATCCCACAAATGAACATGACATTTTCACTTATATAGATAATGGTGTAGCACGATATAGTAATATATAATACTGATAATTATATATAATACTGATATATAATTATATGTATATAATTATTTATTTATATATAGATAATTATATATATATATTATAATTATATATAATACTGATATATAATATTAGTAATATATAATAGTGATATTGTACTATGCTAATAATATAATATATTTGTGTGTGTGTATATATATATATACAAGATATATATATATATATATATATATATATATATATATATATATCTTGTAATCCACTCTGGGTCCCCTTCAGGGTGAGAAGGGTGGCGTATAAATGTCGTAAATAAATAAATAAATAAATAAATAAATAAACTTTCCCAAAATGGATTCGTTTGTTTCTGGTCAAATGGCCCGAGCTCTTCCTCATACGCCGCAGCATTTACCTATCTAACCATTTCCTCCTCTCTCTTTTCTGCTTCCTGTTCAGGACACGGATGATGAGGATCCCTACTGACCGGATGGGGAGAAGCCTTCCTTTTGGGGGTTCACCAGAGGCCTGCCTTGGTGCGCACTGCTGCTGCGCCGCCTCTGGCTGTCGTGTCTCTCATTGTTTGGACTGTGACTGGGACTTGCTGCTGACCCCAACTACCTCTTCCACCCATTGTGAATCCCCTCCCCTTTACGACATAGGGTCCTCACTGGCTCTTTTGGGGGGGGGCACCTCTTGTGTTCCTTCAGTCCCTTGGAGCGGTCAGTGGCTCCTAGTGGCCCTGCTGGAGGCCCCATTCGGTATAGAGACAATACATAGTGTGCGAAGGGCAGTGGGCCCAGGCTCTGTCTCAGGAGCTCCTAATAAACCTCTTTCTCTAGCTCAGTCTACTTTCCTTTTGAGTGGTTTGGAAAGAATAATAAAGGGCGGGGAGAGGTTTTGGGAGGCAGCCCCTCACACCCAGAGAACGGGGTATGCGCTGCTGCAAAGGGTACATGAATCATAGAATCATAGAATCCTAGAGTTGGAAGAGACCTCATGGGCTATCCAGTCCAACCTCCTGCCAAGAAGCAGCAATATTGCATTCAAAGCACCCCTGACAGATGGCCATCCAGCCTCTGATCTCCATTGCACTATGTAACTTCAGATTTGAATGACTACTGTGCTGAAGGAGTGTAAGGCGGATGCTGCACTATTACTTTACGTTGCAGAACTGCTCTGTGACGTTTTGCAGTACTTAGCATTGAGTAGTCATGAAGCTGCAGAGTCAATCAGTGGGGGTATCTGCATAGAGGTAGCCTGGCCCCTGTTGCTTGGAGGCGTTCTCGTACATGCACACATCAAGCAAGATCCAGTACATTGGGCAGCTGTGAGTTCTTCAGGCTGTATGGCTATGTTCCAGCAGCATTCTCACCTGACCTTTCACCTCCATCTGTGACTAATGGCATATTCAGAGGATCTGATTGGAGTGTGTGTGTATCTATCTATCTATCTATCTATCTGTTAATCAATCAATCAATCATAATGTCCAGGGTGGGAGAAAGAACACTTGTCTGTTTGAAGCAACTGTGAATGCTGCAATTTGAAAGCTTATCTGCATATTTATTTATTTATTTATTTATTTACAACATTTATATAGATGTAGCCTCTGTTGCCTGGAGGCATCCTCATACATGCACAGATCAAGCAAGATCCAGCACATTGGGCAGCTGTGAGGTTTTCAGGCTGTATGACCCATGTTCCAGCAGCATTCTCACCTGACCTTTCACCTCCATCTGTGGCTAATGGCATATTAGGAGGATCTGATTGGGATAAAGCAAGTGGAGTATGTGTGTGTCTGTCAATCAATCAATCAATCAATCAATCAATCATATTAATCAGTCAGTCAATCAATCAATCATAATGTCCAGGGTGGGAGAAAGAACTCTTGTCTGTTTGAAGCAACTGTGAATGCTACAATTTGAAAACTTATCTGCATATTTATTTATTTATTTATTTACAACATTTATATAGATGTAGCCTGGCCGCTGTTGCCTGGAGGCATCCTCGTACATGCACAGATCAAGCAAGATCCAGCACATTGGGCAGCTGTGAGGTTTTCAGGCTGTATGACCCATGTTCCAGCAGCATTCTCACCTGACCTTTCACCTCCATCTGTGGCTAATTGCATATTCGGAGGATCTGATGGGGATAAAGCAGTCTATCTAGCATAATGGCCAGGGTGGGAGAAAGAACCCTTGTCTGTTTGGAGCAACTGTGAATGCTGGAATTTGCAAGCTTGAATAGCATTGAGTAGCCATGAAGCTGCAAAGTTAATAAATGAGGGTATCTGCATAGAGGTAGCCTGGCTGCTGTTGCCTGGAGGCATCCTTGTACATGCACACATCAAGCAAGATCCAGTACATTGGGCAGCTGTGAGTGTTTTGGGCTGTATGGCTGTGTTCTAGCAGCATTCTCACCTGACCTTTCACCTGCATCTGTAGCATCTTCAGAGGATCTGATGGGGATAAAGCAAGTGGAGTGTGTGTGTGTGTGTGTGTGTGTGTGTGTGTGTGTGTGTGTGTCTGTCTGTCTGTCTGTCTGTCTGTCTTTCTTTCTTTCTTTCTAAACATTATGAATAACTTCCTGACTGTGAAAGCTGTTCAGCAGTGGAACTCTCTGTCCTGAAGAGTGGTGGAGGCTCCTTCTTTGGAGCCTTTGAAGCAGAGGCTGGATGGCCATCTGTTGGGAGTACTTTGAATGGAATTTTCCTGCTTCTTGGCTGCCGGGGGGAGGGGGGTTGGACTGGATGGCGCACCAGGTCTCTTCCAACTCTGAACATTAGGAAGAACTGACTGTGAGAACTGTACAACAGTGGAACTCTCTGCCCCAGAGTGTGGTGGAGGCTCCTTCTTTGGAGGCTTTTAAACAGAAGCTGGATGGCCATCTGTTGGGAGTGCTTTGAATGCAATTTTCCTGCTTCCTGGCAGAATGGGATTGGACTGGATGGCCCATGAGGTCTCTTCCAACTCTAGGATTCTATGATTCTATGAATGACTGTGTAACTTCAAAACCTGGCTGGTTTCTGCTTGGGGGAATCCTTTGTTGGGAGGTGTTAGCTGGCCCTGATGGTTTCCTATCTGGAAATCCCCTGTGGTGGGGGGTTGGACTGGGTAGCCCACCAGGTCTCTTCCAACTCTAGGATTTGAGGATTCTATGATTCTACTAGCTGTACCCGCCATGTGTTGCTGTGGCCAACCTTCCCTCCCTCCCTCTTTCTCTCCTTTCTTCCTTCCCTCTTTTTCTTTCAGTTTTTTCTTCCTTCTCTACCTGTTTCTTTTCCCACTTCTTTTGCTCTTGGTTCCATCCTTCCTTCTCTCCCTCTTTCTCTCTTTCGTTCCTTCTCTCCTTCTTTCCCTCCTTCTCTCCTTTCTCCCCTCCTTCTCTCCTTCCTTCCTTCTCTACCTTTCCTTCTTTCCTTCTCTCCTTCCTTCCTTCTCCCTTTCTATATGTTTTGTGTGTATATGCATATATGTGTGTATATATGTGTGTGTTTGTGTATATATATATATGTGGTTTTGCGCATGCGTTATGTGTGTTTCTGGATTTTTTTTGGCCAAGTCTCTTCTGTTGTGTTTTTCGGTGTTTTTATGTGTGATGGTCACTCGTTGGCCTGAAAGGTGTCTTGTGTCCAAATTTGGTGTCAATTCGTCCAGTGGTTTTTGAGTTATGTTAATCCCACAAACGAACATTACATTTTTATTTATATAGAAGACTAGTTGTCCCATCACATGTTGCTGTGGCCGTCTGTGTATATGTGTTTTGTGTGTGTATATGCATATATGCATATATGTATGTGTATGTTTGTGTAAATATATGTGGTTTTGCACATATGTTGTAGTGTAATTTGGGGCTTTTGGGTCTTTTAAGTCTCTTCTGCCATGTTTTTCAGTGTTTTTATGAGTGATGGTCACCCATTGACCTGATAGGTGTGTTGTGTCCAAATTTGGTGTCAATTCCTCCAGTGGTTTTTGAGTTATGTTAATCTCACAAATGAACATTACATTTTTATTTATATATGATGAATGACCTTGTAGCTTCAAAACCTGGCTGGTTTCTGCCTGGGGGAATCCTTTGTTGGGAGGTGTTAGTTGACCTTGATGGTTTCCTTTCTGGAAGTACTCTTGTGTTTTTGTAGTGGTGGGGGGTTGGACTGGGTGGCCCACCAGGTCTCTTCCAACTCTAGAATTCTATGAATGACCTTGTAGCTTCAAAAGCTGGCTGGTTTCTGCCTGGGAGAATCCTTTGTTGGGAGGTGTTAGCTGACCCTGATTGTTTCCTTTCTGGAAGTACTCTTGTGTTTTTCTGGTGGTGGTGGTGGTGGTGGTGGGGAGTTGGGCTGGGTGGCCCACCAGGCCTCTTCCAACTCTTGGATTCTATGAATGACCTTGTAGCTTCAAAACCTTGCTGGTTGCTGCCTAGGAGAATCCTTTGTTGGGAGGTGTAAGCTGGCCCTGATGGTTTCCTTTCTGGAAGTACTCTTGTGTTTTTGTAGTGGTGGGGGGTGTGGACTGGGTGGCTCACCAGGCCGCTTTCAACTCTAGGATTCTTGGATTATATGATTCTACTAGCTGTATCCGCCACATGTTGCTGTGGCCCACCTTCCCTCCCTCTTTCGTTTGTTGTCTCCTTCTTTCCCTCTTTCCCTTTCTTTTCCTTCTCTCCTTCCTTCCTTCTCTCCTTCTTTCCCTCCTTCTTCCTTCCTTCACTACCTTTCTTTCCTTCTCTCATTCTTTCCCTCCTTCTCTCCTTCCTTCCTTCTCTACCTTTCTTTCTTTCTCTCCTTCCCTCCTTTCTTCTCTCCTTCTTCCCTTCTCTACCTTTCTTTTTTCTTTCTTTCCTTCCTTCTCTCCTTCCTTCCTTCTCCCTTTCTGTGTATGTGTTTTGTGTATGTATATGCATATATGTGTGTTTGTGTGTATATATATATGTGGTTTTGCGCATGCGTTATGTATTTTTGTGTGGGGTTTTTTGGCTTTTGAAGTCCCTTCTGCTGTGTTTTTCAGTGTTTTTATGAGTGATGGTCACTTGCTGGCCTGAGAGGTGCGTTGTGCCCAAATTTGGTGTCAATTCGTCCAGTGGTTTTTTAGTTATGTTAATCTCACAAACGAACATTACATTTTTATTTATATAAGATGAATGACCTTGTAGCTTCAAAACCTGGCTGGTTTCTGCTTGGGGGAATCCTTTGTTGGAAGGTGTTAGTTGACCCTGATGGTTTCCTTTCTGGAAGTACTCTTGTGTTTTTGTCGTGGTGGGGGGTTGGATTGGATGGCCCACCAGGTCTCTTCCAACTCTAGAATTCTTGGATTATATGCTTCTATGAATGACCTTGTAGCTTCAAAACCTGGCTGGTTGCTTCCTGGGGGAATCCTTTGTTGGGAGGTGTTAGTTGTCCCTTGTTGGGAGGTGTTACCTGGCCCTGATGGTTTCCTTTCTGGAAGTACTCTGTGCTGTTATTTGGAGTGTTGCTCTTTACTTACTGTCCCGATGGTGGAGTTTTGCAATGGGGGTCGTCCTGTGGCCTTCCACCACTGCTTACTGGAGCGATGGCTTGGGCCTCGCCCTTGCCCCCTCCCACTTCCGCCGACCATAGACAGGAGGTCCTCCTCCTCCCCCTCCTTCTCCCCCTCCCTCTCCCCCCCCCCCGCCCACTCTCTCTCTCTCCCCTCCTTAACCGCCCGGCCATCTTGGCGCAGAGAAAGAGGGAAGGAGAAAGAGACCCAGGAGGAGGAGGAGGAGGAAGAGAACCCGCCCTCTTGGAGGAGCGCCCCCACCCCAAATCCCCAGGATGGCTGCGTGCGCTTGACCTCCTCCCCACACCCTTTTCTCCAAGACCCCCCCTCTCCCCCCCCCGAATTCCCAAGATGCACCGCGACGCCCCTCCGGCTTTGGCCGCCCTTTTGGGGGGCGTCCTGTGTCGGCTACTCTTTGCCTTCCTCTCCAGCGGTAAGTCCTTACCATTTTGGGTAGGGGGAGGCAAGAGAGGAGGGTCTTGGAGGGAGACCCCTTGGAGTGACCTTCCTCTTTATTTGGGGGGGGGGGTGTTCCAAAATAATCACTATGGAGCTTTGGAGGGTCTCTCTCTCTCTCTCTCTCTCTCTCTGGTGAGGAAAAGACAGGGGACAGATCAAGGAATGAAGGGAGGGAGGGAGGGAGAGAGAGGGAGAAGCCCTCCTTAAAGGGATACCACCCAAGGCAAAAGGGAGGCGGGGCGTGGGCCTGGGCCAGCACCATGGCCAGCTCCCCTCTGCAGAGGCTCTGCATTCACCCGGCTGCGCATGCGCAAGACCCTTCCCAGGCCCCTTCCCATTGCTAAATACTATAGCCCTTCCAAGAATGGGATTGCATTTCTGGGAACTAGGGAAAGATCTGGCTGAGGAGAAGGACATAACCCAGGACTAGGCAAACTTAGGCCCTCGGTCCAGGTGTTTTGGACTCCAACTCCCACAATTCCTAACAGCCGGTAGGTGTTAGGCTTAAAAAACTGGGCCCTGGAGACTAGGATGCGGAACAATGGCTTCAAACTACAAGAAAGGAGATTCCATCTGAACATGAGGAAGAACTTCCTGACTGTGAGAGCCGTTCAGCAGTGGAACTCTCTGCCCCGGAGTGTGGTGGAGGCTCCTTCTTTGGAAGCTTTTAAACAGAGGCTGGATGGCCATCTGTCAGGGGTGATTTGGATGCAATATTCCTGCTTCTTGGCAGAATGGGGTTGGACTGGATGGCCCAGGAGGTCTCTTCCCAACTCTTGGATTCTAGGATTCTCTGATCTGAGTCCACACTGCCATATGTTCCAGTTCAAAGCAGACAATGTGGGATTGCATCCAGCTGTGTGGAATGGCTGTGAGAGACATAAAGTCAAGCTCTGGCTTGCATTTGGGGGCAATTGCCACTTTGAGGCCCCTTTCTATGCTGGCGTATCATCCAGAGCATCAAAGGAGATCATCCACCTGATCTGCTTTGAAATGGATTATGAGTCTGCGCTGCTATATAATCCAGTTTAAAGGAGATAATCTGGATTTTGTATGGCAGTGTAGAAAAGCTGTGTGTCTCCTGCAGGAGAGATAAAGTGGGTATTTATTTAATGTATCAGGAGCAAAACCAAGGGTTTGTAAGCCGCCCCGAGTCCCCATTGGGGGAGATGTTTGCAGGGTATAAATATTATTATTATTATTATTATTATTATTATTATTATTATTATTATTATTATTATTATTATGCATTTTAAAAACAGAGTTTTAAAAGCTTGGCAATATACTAAATGTCCTTTGACCAGTAGTTGGCCACTTGGAGTGCCTCTGGTGTTGCTGTTAGAAGCTCCTCCATTGTGCATGTGGCATGGTTCAGGCTGCATTGTAGTCAGTGGTCTGTAGTTTGCTCTTCTCCACACTCGCATGTCGTGGGCTCCACTTTGTGGCCCCATTTCTTAAGGTTAGCTCTGCATCTCGTGGTGCCAGAGCACAGCTTGTTCAGTGTCTTCCAGGTTGCCCACTCTTCTGTGTGCCCAGGAGGGAGTCCCTCATTCAGTATTAGCCACGGATTGAGGTTCCAGGTGTTCGCCTGCCACTTTTGGACTCTTGCTTGCTGAGGTGTTCCTGCAAATATCTCTGTAGATCTTAGGAAGCTGTTTCTTGATTTAAGGTGTTGGCTTGCTGGCTGATATGCAAACAGGGAATGGGCTGGAGATGTCTCTGCCTTGGAACTTCCATTAATGGCTGCTGCTTCCCGGCAGACGTCAGGTGGTGTGATACCAGCTCAACAGTGGTGTAGGGCATAGACATCCTGTGATTATGCGGCATGTCTCATTAAGAGCCACGCCCACTGTTTTAGCATGGTGAGATGTGTTCTGTTCTGGGCACGCAATAATCTGACCCTTCCTTGGGACAGGCTTGGAGGGGCCCAAATGGCAGGTTGAGAGACATAAAGACTCCACCTGAACATTAGACATGATGAGGCCATGGATCAAGAGGGGAAGGGAAGTCATAGGAAGAAGGCTTAAAGAACAAGCCCTATGAGGAGCGGCTTAAAGACCTGAGCATGTTTATCCTGCAGGAGAGAAGGCAGAAGGGAGACACGATGAGGGCCATGGATCAAGAGGTGAAGGGAAGTCATAGGAAGAAGGCTTAAAGAACAAGCCCTATGAGAAGCGGCTTAAAGAGCTGGGCATGTTTATCCTGCAGGAGAGAAGGCAGAAGGGAGACATGATGAGGCCATGGATCAAGAGGGGAAGGGAAGTCATAGGAAGGAGGAAGGAGGCTTAAAGAACAAGCCCTATGAGGAGTGGCTTAAAGACCTGGGCATGTTTATCCTGCAGGAGAGAAGGCAGAAGGGAGACATGATGAGGCCATGGATCAAGAGGGGAAGGGAAGTCATAGGAAGGAGGCTTAAAGAACAAGCCCTATGAGGAGTGGCTTAAAGACCTGGGCATGTTTATCCTGCAGGAGAGAAGGCAGAAGGGAGACATGATGAGGCCATGGATCAAGAGGGGAAGGGAAGTCATAGGAAGGAGGCTTAAAGAACAAGCCCTATGAGGAGTGGCTTAAAGACCTGGGCATGTTTATCCTGCAGGAGAGAAGGCAGAAGGGAGACATGATGAGGCCATGGATCAAGAGGGGAAGGGAAGTCATAGGAAGGAGGCTTAAAGAACAAGCCCTATGAGGAGCAGCTTAAAGACCTGGGCATGTTTATCCTGCAGGAGAGAAGGCAGAAGGGAGACATGATGAGGCCATGGATCAAGAGGGGAAGGGAAGTCATAGGAAGGAGGAAGGAGGCTTAAAGAACAAGCCCTATGAGGAGCGGCTTAAAGACCTGGGCATGTTTAGCCTGCAGGAGAGAAGGCAGAAGGGAGACATGATGAGCCCGTGGATCAAGAGGGGAAGGGAAGTCATAGGAAGGAGGAAGGAGGCTTAAAGAACAAGCCGTATGAGGAGCGGCTTAAAGACCTGGGCATGTTTAGCCTGCAGGAGAGAAGGCAGAAGGGAGACATGATGAGGCCATGGATCAAGAGGGGAAGGGAAGTCATAGGAAGAAGGCTTAAAGAACAAGCCCTATGAGGAGCGGCTTAAAGACCTGGGCATGTTTAGCCTGCGGGAGAGAAGGCAGAAGGGAGACATGATGAGCCCGTGGATCAAGAGGGGAAGGGAAGTCATAGGAAGGAGGAAGGAGGCTTAAAGAACAAGCCGTATGAGGAGCGGCTTAAAGACCTGGGCATGTTTAGCCTGCAGGAGAGAGGGCAGAAGGGAGACACGATGAGGCCATGGATCAAGAGGTGAAGGGAAGTCATAGGAAGGAGGAAGAAGCCCTATGACGAGCGGCTTAAAGAGCTGGGCATGTTTAGCCTGCAGGAGAGAAGGCAGAAGGGAGACACGATGAGCCCGTGGATCAAGAGGGGAAGGGAAGTCATAGGAAGGAGGAAGGAGGCTTAAAGAACAAGCCGTATGAGGAGCGGCTTAAAGACCTGGGCATGTTTAGCCTGCAGGAGAGAAGGCAGAAGGGAGACATGATGAGCCCGTGGATCAAGAGGGGAAGGGAAGTCATAGGAAGGAGGAAGGAGGCTTAAAGAACAAGCCGTATGAGGAGCGGCTTAAAGACCTGGGCATGTTTAGCCTGCAGGAGAGAAGGCAGAAGGGAGACATGATGAGCCCGTGGATCAAGAGGGGAAGGGAAGTCATAGGAAGGAGGAAGGAGGCTTAAAGAACAAGCCGTATGAGGAGCGGCTTAAAGACCTGGGCATGTTTAGCCTGCGGGAGAGAAGGCAGAAGGGAGACATGATGAGGCCATGGATCAAGAGGGGAAGGGAAGTCATAGGAAGAAGGCTTAAAGAACAAGCCCTATGAGGAGCGGCTTAAAGACCTGGGCATGTTTAGTCTGCAGGAGAGAGGGCAGAAGTGAGACATGATGAGGCCATGGATCAAGAGGGGAAGGGAAGTCATAGGAAGGAGGAAGGCTTAAAGAACAAGCCCTATGAGGAGCGGCTTAAAGAGCTGAGCATGTTTAGCCTGTGGGAGAGAAGGCAGAAGGGAGACATGATGAGGCCATGGATCAAGAGGGGAAGGGAAGTCATAGGAAGGAGGAAGAAGGCTTAAAGGACAAGCCCTATGAGGAACAGCTTAAAGACCTGGGCATGTTTGGCCTGCAGGGCAGAAGGCTGAGGGGAGATATGATAGCCATGTATAAGTATGTGAGAGGAAGTCATAGCAGGCTTCCTTTCTGCTGCCCTGGAGACTAGGATGCAATGGAACAATGGCTTCAAACTACAAGAGAGGAGATTCCATCTGAACATGAGGAAGAACTTCCTGACTGTGAGAGCCGTTCAGCAGTGGAACTCTCTGCCCCGGAGTGTGGTGGAGGCTCCTTCTTTGGAAGCGTTTAAACAGAGGCTGGATGGCCATCTGTCAGGGGTGCTTTGAATGTGATTTTCCTGCTTCTTGGCAGAATGGGGTTGGACTGGATGGTGGCCCAGGAGGTCTCTTCCAACTATGATTGTATGATTCTTAGACAAGCTCTGGCTTGCATTTGGGGGCAATCACCACATTGAGGCCCTGCCTACGCTGACGTATCATCCAGAGTATCAAAGCAGATCATCCGCCTGATCTGCTTTAACTGGATTATCCGTCTACAATGCCCTATAATCAAAGCAGATAATCTGGATTTGACATGGCAGTTTGGAAAGGCTGTGAGACTCCTGCAAAAGAGATTGAGTGGGTTATAAATATAATAATAACAACAACAACAATAAATAATAAACAATAATAATAATAAAGAGGGCCATGGAGGTCTGTGGAGGGCCCTGGAAGAGGAATCTGGGTGCAAAGCATATTCCCTGCAGTGCCCAGCCATTCCTATTTATTATTATTTTGTTTACAGTATTTACATACCACTTTACTCACCCCTGGGGGGATTCAAAGCAGTTTACATAGAAATAAGGGCAAAATTCCATGCCTTAC